AAGGGGCCCAACGTGGCAATGGAGCCCAGAGGCGCCGTCAAAGTGGACAAGCCGGGCATGCCATTACCTACATATATATGTACTGTATCCCACAACCCACGCGGCAAGATGGAAGAAAAACGATGCATTGTCACCCCAGCTGCAGTGAAGCCTCTCGGAGAAGTGCGGGCACTGTTGGCTGTCGGCTAGGATTGAAGTCTGGACTCGGTGTTATAACTAAACTGGGCTGACCTACTGTAAGTTCCGTACCCCAACTTACTGTAATTCGTAATGTCGAACGTTGTCTGTGACCTTCGATAGCTCTTTGACAGATGGTACAAGTGTCGGTTGCAGTACCATACTCTGATCCGAACAAAATCGGGGTGCTGTGTCGTTTTGAGCGTGTTCTATGTTATGTGTTCTGCCCCGAAGTTCAACAAGTTGACACCAAAACCCGTTGTCACTGGGCTATCGTTACTTCTATTGTTCACACATTCGGATTTTACACTGGAGCTTTGTGAAGCAGCGGTGTGTTTTCTCGACGATGGTATCGATGGGTCGATTACGTCTTGCATTTTTGGGGATCCGTCTTCCAAGCCGGAAAGCTATTCCAGTTCCTATCGCAGAGTGAAGGGCCTCTCGGTTACCAGTTGAGTTGACTTTCGATTCAGCTCTCTCAATCGAATGTTTGACATTTAACACTTCTGTGATTGTGATTACAGTTGATAGAGCAGCGTGTCCCTTTTTCAAATACAGCATCTTTCCACTTGAAACCGTCATGTGTCCATCAAGACAGATCGCGTTCAGTACCAATTTTGACAAACGTGAAGACCGGTACTATTGGAATGATCCACCACCCATGATTCCACCAATCCAGGATGCCCCTGGTTAAACAAAGCCAATCGTAACGCAGAGGCCCCGCACCTTAACCTAAGTTCCACTTTGCCAAGTCGCAGAAATTTTTATCAGATCATCTTATCTGATCGATTATTCTGACTGATGCCAACGGCCCACCCACCTTCGCCCAGTGGCCCACCATCACAACCAAGGCATGAAGGGGCCACGGCAATGTGTGATGACTTGGCCGGTCGGACAGGGTGCCGCATGCGCTTGTTGTTTCTCTCCACGTCTTTGCGCGGCAGGAACGCCAATCGACCGCAGAACTCCATGACAGATTTGCTGCTTCCACGCGAGCAGCGGCCACCCGGCGACGTCGACGGCGACATGACGGAAAGAGCGATATCGGCCCCTCCCTCGCCCTTCCATGCTTCTTGCCCTCCCTGTGGAAGATAGCTTTCTACCTAGATACCTCTAGGTTCGAGAACCTGTCTCTGGCGAGCGAGTGTTCTACACCTTGGCGCAGGTATCGGTACAGGGGCAAGGCGTTAAAGTTGATGATGTCAAAGTCCTCTCATCCTTCGCCGCCCTCGTAAAGCATCATACAACATGCTACTTCCCTGTGCAAAGTCAGCCATCGGGCCGGCACCATCAAGGTGCATTCGTCACATGCCCAAACCCGAGAAATTGGAAGGGTCCAGATGGTGATAGTTAAAAATTGGTCAGTTCTTGGCTTATACGGTTGCGAAGAGGAGAAAGAGAAAAGGGCTGGTGAGATTCCGTTAGACCGCCGCCGGAATCCGCTGGGGGGAACCATTCGACTCCGATGTGGGAAACGGGAATGTGTGTTGGTCACTGATGGCAGTGGAGATGGCCTGAGGAGTGAGGGCTTTCGCACACGAGAAATCTGACGATAAAAAGCCGACGAAAAGGAATGGATACCTGTGCGGGCCAAGAGCGACAATCATTACCTGTTCTGGCAAGACGCCGTTACCCCTAGCGGACCCGCTTCCGTTGCTACCGTACCGCAGGGGCAGGAACACACCACATCCCGCAAGGGTCCCATCTTGCCTGACGAATTCTTTGAGGGCTGGGACCTTACAGCAGGCCCGGGTGTGAAATTGAATTTCGTGAGTTCCTACCGATTCATCATCCGCCCGACCTGGCTTCAAAGTTCAACGCCGAGAACGGTCTCGCCACATAAGCAACTGAACGGGACCAACACCGACGGAACCGTGACACTGAACCACACGGCTGGGTCCTAGATCAGGAGCACTGCAAATGTACACTTGTCACTGACCAGGGACAACAAAGAAATCTCTGCTTGGAATTGACCAGGTTCACCTCCGAGCAAGTATTCAATGCCACAGAGGCCCAGAGGCTCTCAAGAGCTCCTATCTATCGGCTTCGGCGTCTCTTCGATGTTGTCGTCAACCGCGCTTCCAACGGTAACCAGCATAGAAATCGTCGTCACCAGTCACCACTGATCGTCATTTCCATGTCCAACCTCACAAGCCTTGAAACGATAAGATGCGAGTGCAATGCCTGTGACGGCCCCCTTTCTGCCCCGTCATGCTTCATCGGCTGCAACCATGGAGTCCTAATCCTTTAAAGGTTGGCTTTTTTCCCAATTGGTACACTATCATGCCCGGCTGCCCACGTAAGCTCTCCACACCTTACCCACCACCCCCGACGGGAGAAGCAACGTGGAAAATCTCCTTTGAAATGGGCATGAGGCACACGCCCGTCATGCTCTACCGTGTCTGCTGGCGCTGATCTCACAAGTAGATGATAAATATTTCGCGCAAGCGGGGATAAACCCACCAAATCCGTACGGCTGCTCCGGGCATCCACCTATCTTTAATCGGGACGAAGACACTCTCCGGAAGTCAACGACCGTGCCGCCCCTCTCCGCTATTTGAAGACATATCGGAGACTGGATGCTTTTGGCGCCGTTTCCGCCGGCCTTGTGCTACCCTTCCTGTTTCGATCTCATGCTGAGTGGCATAGTCAAAAGTCCGGATCCCACTTGGCGGCCCGCCTTGCTGCGACGTGCCGGCCGCTACCGTCTCCGCTTCCTAACAAGATTCGATTTCAGGTACGGAGCTCCCGCGGGTGAGCCGTAGGGCATATTACTGACCATGGCAAACCGACATTGGCTTTGGTTACGATAAACGTACAAAGTCAATATTTTCAGTTCCTACGCCGTAAATCCCATCCAATTTTTTCCTTGCTTCGTTAGATCAAAATCCTCTCTTCGTCTGATATTTAAAGCTACACGCACTCACATATGTACCAGGATTCTCCAAATACCCTGTTTTCTTCCGGTTCCCAATTTGCCTTCGTCCACCCAACTCACCGAATTCTCGGCTCAATCTCAGCCTCCTCAGGCTTCTCATCCATCCATCTCCTCAACCACTGCCTAGCCAGCGGATGTAGATGCAGCTGCACCCTCCATTTTCCGTCTCCCGTACCCCATTGGGCCGCTTCACTCGTGGGACACACAATCGCATGATAGTCTGCGCTCGCCGACGTCGATGGTTTATACACAGTGTGTACCCCCAATCCCATCTCCATCTCATCCTCCCTCGATGACGACGACATCCTCCTAGAACCAATCTCCACCGTCGCCATCCGTCTCTCGTGCGATTCTCCATACCCTATCCCCTTCCAAGCCTCTCTTCTCGCTTGCTCAAGAGAAAAGATACACAACGGCCTTCCGCAACCTTCATTTGAATCCCTCTTCGCGGCCATCTTAACTCGCCGCGCATCTTCCTGGCCAGCCTGCGCTTGCCCTTGCGCTTGCACGACCTCGATGGCCGAGCGGATCGCAAAGGCAAGCATGGCGTATTGCCGGAGATGAGGAATGCCTGTCTCGTCGGTGATGACTGGGCGGAGGAACTGGCGTAGAGGGACGGTGGCGATGGCAGGAGGGTATTTGCCCGGGTAGTCAGGGTGAAGTTGGTTCTGGCTTTGGGTGTGAGTAGGAGGGGAGGGGGCGCTGCGGACGTCGACGATGGTGACAAGTTTTACTACTTCCACGGGGTTGTTACCGGGGACGACACTGTCATGGTTGCTGCTGCTGCCGCTGCCGCTGCCATGGATTTGCGCTCGAGTGAGCAGATGCCAAATAAAGGCGTACAAGATGTCTTGTTCGGTGATATTGCTGGCCGACGGCGTCGAGGCCATTTGATGGAGATACGCTTGGGCGGCACGGTGCACGGTGCGAACCCAGCTGGTGCGGATGGTGAGCATGTCAGTAGATGCCGGGTCGTATGGACGGCGGAGGTAGGTCATGAGGCGGTGATCCTCATTGTTATTTTTGTTATAGGCAGAGTCGTCATTGTGAGAGTCCATGGTGGAGGTGGTGAGATGATACTAGGAAAGATGTTGTCACTGTTGCTATTGTTGATGATGAATCTGCAGCATCAATATATTAGTCCTGCTAGCTGTTCGTGTCGAAAGCGACAGATATCAACTATCAAATGTAAGTTAGGTAACCAACGACTACCATGCGCGTCTTTTTTTTTTTTCTTTTTTTTTTTTTTTTTTTTTTTCCCCTCTCTGTCAGGTCCAGATCTTAATTTCTTTTTTCTTTTTGGCTCCCCTACCAGCCCTCACCATGCGGGGAACTGAAAGGAAGGGACGATCCTTGTATTGCCGAATAGGAGTTCATGCAAACACATCTCCGACCGATTCATGATATCGGATGAACTATGCCAGTGCGTCGCCACAAACTTTCCTTGACCTGAAACACTTCCACAACACGTGCGTGTGCTTCACAAGAGTTACCAGCGTGACGGTAAAGATACCAACGGAAATAAAACGAAATATATAAAATAAATCAAGACAAAGCGAACGATACAAGACAACCCAAAACAAAACGGCGCACGACGGGAAGGAAACACTCACACAGAGCCTCTTCCAGTACGACTGCCAGTACCACCGACCCAAAGATAGTTTGTCAATAACCACAATGTAGTTAGAGTTCTTTCCAAAGTATTGATTGACTACGACCTCATGCCAGAGAGCCAGGTAATCAAGTATTAAAGCTTTGAGCTTACAGTGAGTGCCATCTGGCTGCAACTTCTATGGTAGTTGGCGGAACAACCAATGATTTAGCATTGCCTTTCCAATTCCTTCATTCTCTGCCTCTCTGATTTCGCCCGACTAAATGGCCTTGCTCAGCGAAGCATGTCCCCTTCGTGTTCAAATCCAACACCAACCTCTCTCAAAAGCTCCCTCCTCAGCCTTGACATGATGACTTCGACGTCTGCCGCATCTGCTACAGCCTGGTGTATCGCAATCCCCAGGACCATTCCCGTTGCGTCTGATGATGATGAGAATTCGCCTCCTCCAAGAAGCCTACTGCGCTGGACGGTCATGGCATCAACTAACCGAGAATGACGAGGTGGTCCATATCTGGGAAAATCCATTCGGCCGTCGAGAGGAGGAATTCGGAAACAAATGTCAGGAACGCGGAACGGATAGGGGCCCTGGATTAGTTCCTCAAAAGACATTTCCAACCTTTGCTCTGCATGGTGGGTGATCAACTGACGGACGGCCTCTTCTGGAGTCTGGATTGGGAGGCGGAGGTAGAGTTGTAGTCTGTGGGCGGCGGCGGCGGCGGTGTATGCATCCTCGTCACCGTCAGTATTGGACCGCTCTTCTGGAAGACGCTCGAGCGGATGGGGACCGGGACGGAGGAGGTGACTTGGATCTCTCCCGCCTTCAAAGTACATGTACACTATGTCGCCTTGTGTAAGGTTACTGAGATGTTGCAAGGCGAAGTTCCGGTTGGTGTTAGGGTTGGAGGAGCGATGAGGGGGTCTACTAGCATTGGTATAGGGATCAGGGTCAGGCGTGTCGATGGCATCGTGATCAGAAATGGTTGAGGAAGCGGCCGAGGCGGGACCGAGTTGACATGAAGCGAGAAAGGAGAAGTCGGGGAGGAGAGTGCGGATCAGGGCCGGCTCGAGAATGGCTGCGCAGAGGGAGTGTGGCCAGGGGAGGAGCAGGGCTCGACAGTGGTAGCCGCGAGTTTGAACGTTGTCGAGGGCGGTCAGGACGTGTTCGGTTGGGGGTAGGCTCGGAGGGGAATCCGTGAAATATGTTATGGAGCCCATGTTGTGCAGTGCTTGTTAAAAGGTTTGGGTTCTGTTCAATGTACTGCTCCTCCGGGCCCTGACAGATCAATTCGAGTAAACGTGTTCTACACTCGAAACCTACGTCGTTGTCGAGCGGCACACAAAGGTGGTTTTATACACGAGAGAGTATATATACTGGTGATCCACCGGGCTAGTCATAAGGCGGTGTATGTCATCGTACCGAAATGTCCAAGAAAGTGTAATAACATTGTGAAGAGACTTGGACTTGGGTGATTCACAAGGGTTTGGATGTGTAAGTTTCTTCCGAGAGGTGGTGTTTATATAATAACCACTGCAAGCTTGATCATCTTGTCACGGGCAAACACATCCCTTGAGTCACGGTTAGTACTTGGCGGAGCTCGACGGGTGAAGCGATTGGTGATGCGTGTGCCCTTGACTACAGGGTACCGACTTTCCCATGTACTTCACTGAGACTTTCTGATGCGAAACCTGTCAGAAGATGGCAATCATTCTTTGGCCTTGTACAGAGTCGTCACTTTAGAATTTTCAGCTTTTTCAAAGGTCATAGCATGAAGCTATTCACGGTTCTTGGCGTTTTGGGCACTGTTGAACACGGTCCGGACACTCTCGAATAGCAGAATGGCCGTTGCTTATGGCCACCATTGCAAGCGTAAATTTTTACTCTGAGACTCGTTCGAGATAGGAAATACGTATCTGATTGGTCCAAGTCGTCAATGTCTGTGATATCCAAGTTTTGTTGTTGTCAACGTAGTTGTCGTTGGCGTTGTCGCCAGCAGAAGTGGAGGAGGATGGGCGACGGGACGACCGGGCGCCAAGATTAACACCCATGCAGTCTAGCGCTAACTGTTCCGCGTATGTTCCCACTAATTGTAACGTCGTATGGGCGTTAAGCCCGCTAAGGTTTGGGGGATTGACAGGCCCACAGCGTTGCATCCATCCGCGATTTGAGGTTTTGAAGGTTAGAGGTACAATACCATTATCTCGTCTCCAATGCCTTTGTCGAATACCTCTGTCCGCCATGGGTGTTGTTTTGGTGGCTGGTGTGTAATGTCTGACCTAAGCACAGGAAGCGCCGATAAGCCGGGCCGGACTTAAAACGGCCTGAGACTTCCCCCGCTTGGCAAATCCATTGGCGCTGGATCGCGATCACAAGGCGCAGCTTCCACTGCAGTTGTTTGTTTGGGCCATTGCCCCGCCATCCTCCGTCCGGCCACCAAACATGCATCGGCAGTCCGCCAACACAAAACCATCATCCATCCACAAGTCGTCCGACGCCGCACCAGACCTCCTACCATGAGGGGGTTTTCCTCAGACAACACCTCGGTCCTCTAGAGAATGGACGTGCTAATACACACGCTCTCTACGCAAACATGTAAAACCGCCCCAAATGACGAATCGAGTCAAAAAGAGAGTGACTGACTGTGACTACCTACTAACCTTGCTGGTCTCCCTCCTCAGGATTGATCCCTCGATCCGCCTTCGGCGCGCAATCCACATAAACGACCACCTCCTCGTCAAGCGCATCCTCCGCTCTCACCCTTATCTCCTCCACAACCCCGATCATTCCATCTGCGGGAATGCGAACTCGAACCTCCACCTAGCCGCTTCTCTCGGCCATCTCTCCATCTGCAAGATCCTTGTCGAACTCGGTCACGAAGAGGGCACCCCCGCACTAAACGATGAACACCAAACCGCACTCATGCTAGCAGCCTCGGCCGGTCATACCGAAATCGTCCACTTCCTGTGCGAAAACGACCCGCAGTCCATCTTGCGTCAGGATATTCGCGGCCGCGATGCCGTCATGGAGGCTAGTCTGAACGGCCACGATACCGTTGTGCAGATCCTGCTTACTTGGGCTCCCGGCGGAGCTCCTGCTGCGCTGGCGCAAGCAGACCTGGATGGAAACACGGCGCTGCACTTTGCTAGCGGCAATGGGAACCTTTTGGTACTGAGGACGCTCTTGGCCGCTGGGGCGGATCCGGGCAGAAAGAACGTCTGGAGCTGGACGCCTGGCGAGTACAGCGCTACTGTTCAGGCAGAGGTCTATTTGAAGGGATTGGTCAATGAGGTGCAAAAGAGGAAGACTGCAAAACGAGAGGCGGAGGAAACCCAGTCGGCACCACCACCGCTGTCCAAGAAGGATAGGATGAAGGGGGCATTTGTGAAACTGGTTGGGAGAGATGTGGATGTGGGCGATTGACGCCAACATATTTCAATATTTGGTCGCCCCTAGTGCTGGACGCTTTTCCAGATTCGAGAGAGTTGGGAGAAGATGAAGCATGTCACCACATGGGGCATGCCAAGGGAGAGCGCATATCTGTGTGTCACCGAACATTGATGGAGGAAGCCAGCGATTCGAAGCAGCTAGATCAAAGAGCGAGGAGCCTCCTCTCCACACCGCTCACAGGCTACAGAATGTGAGTAGATACAAGACTTGTTATTGGATTCCTCGTCACAGTGCTCAATTTTCATGTGTATTGCGATTTCCCGCGCCAAACCATCGGTCAACGGGTGATGACTAACCAAAGTATAACAGAAGGGATACGTGGGATTGGGTAACGTCATCGGTCTTACCAATTGTCACCAACGCTTCCTCGTCTGGTCGTGAAATGAACAGTGAATGATTCACACCTCGATCGCACCTCAGGGCACCCCGATTATCATGCAGAGATGGCATTGATCGTCGTGACTCGAGTTAATCTTCGATTCTTCAGCTGTAAAACTGCATTGGTTCAACTCTTTCCGTCTGCAACGGCTGATCTATCAGCCGTTATCTTCTGGCTGTTGGTTCTCTTTTTGGACGTTATGGATGACTGGCCAGAGGTTCCAGAGCATGTCGTGCTCAGACTTGGCCGGTCAAGAATGTCAAACACCGAGTCACTGGCCCCTCGCTATCAGTCAGGGGAAATTGCGGTCATCAGTCCGATGTGTGCTGAGGCATCAACTTGCGAGATAGGTGTTCCCATGACACAACAAAATGGGACAGATGTCTTCATGATCCAAGAAGCATTCGGTCTGTGAATTCTACCCTGTCACGAAGCTTGCGTTGCCCAAGATGTCTGTCAGGCAAACTGAGCTTCAGAAGACCAGACAGTCGACTTCCAACCAACAACCCAACCGCTTAGTCGTCTCTTCACCGTCGTGGTTACCCAGAGGGTAGCGATATGGTCTTATCTTGTCACAGAACTCGATCACAAGGGGTCTCCTTACAGCCATGGCATCATGAAGCTGTCAAACTTTTCGTGGAGGTACCACCGTATCCTGGAGTACTTAAAGCCCACGTCGTACACTCCTTCTGTTCCTTTCCTCTTTCTCTTCATCGCGAACAAGATCAGCCCAGCAAGCATTCTCTCGACCACTCGTCACTATTCGCATTACCGCTTTCAGGGTACCCGCCCTCAGCCCTCACACTCCTTCATCGGCAGTCCTCTCGCCTGGGAGACCGCCGACAACGAGCCTCAACCGTGGCCTCTCCTCATATCGAAGAGTGGGAAGGTACAGTAGACTTGCCCTACCCGGCAGTCAAGTGCGTTATAACTCAAGTCACTCACGCATCCCCTGATCTGGGTTGCTGGGCTGTCTTGCTACTTGGTGCTTTCTACGACGCCAACGACCGTATCCTCTGGCAGACCGAGGTTTTCCTTGGAGACAAAGCCGAGGACTCTGAAGAGCCCTACGGAGATTCTTACAGTGTCAGTGACGCTGAAGAGTGTATGTTACAAGCAGTTCTACCGTACCTGGGAACAGACGCTGACCATTTTCAGACCAAACACCTTCTTACATCCCTGAAACGGACGATAACGGACACGAGGACGATTACGCTCACAGCGAAACAGGAAGCGAAGATTCTGACTTTGAATACTTCCGTCAGCGTTCCCGAATTCTAGCCAGAATTAACGAGACCTCTGCCCAACAAGATCCCTTGATTCACATCCCTTCCTTCCCTACTCCCGGAGGCTTACAGAGACTTTGGGATCCTATCAGCCAGACTTGGGTCGACGTTTACCCCCAAGGCAACTACTAAGGATCCATTTTCAAAATGTCTTTTGTTCTCGGCGGTGGCTCCAACCCGGCTTTCGGCCGTGATCCCGGCCCTCCCCCTCCCCGCACTCCTCGTCCCGGCGCCTTCCCTCCCGGTTCTGTTCCGAACCCAGCTGCTGTCCCGCGAGTCATTCCCGGAATGCCGGCTCCCGCTTCCGCTTATGGCTTCGCTCAACAGCCCGCTGCACCTGCGGCTTCCCCTTATTACTACGCCCAGGCCCCGGCGCCGGCTGCTCCTGCTGCTCCCGCCTGGGGCAGCGCCATGGCCGCTACCCCCAGTCTCTTCCCTCAACCTTACCAGTACATCTCCGGCTTAGGCGGCAGCGGCCGCACTCCCCAGCCCTACCCCGTCATCAACCCCAACATGCCGGCGGCCAACATGATGAACAGCACCGGCGGCGTCGGCTGCGAACCCGGTTACAACTATTTCTTCCCGCCCGAGCACACGAAGATCCACGTGTTCAAGTGCGGCGCTACGCCTCCCTGGCATCAGCCGCCCAACGCCCGCTTGCCGTTTCACGCCTGTCATGTTCCCGTCTCGACTACCGTCCAGGAACTCATGTATGGGTTTGGCGCGACTAATCCGAGCAAGAAGAAGAACAAGCTGTTTGAGGTGGTGCAAGGTGGCAATGGACGCTGGTATCGTGGTTTGGCGTTCAGGGGCGATGATAAGGAGTTGTTGCAGAAGACTTGCAAAGATTTGGGATGGGATAAGAGCAGAAGTGGATTGCCGGGACAGAAGCCGGTGGTTTATCTTTACGTTACCAAGGACTGATGGGGGGTTTTGAGATGAGATGGGGAGGTAATGGCATGTTGATTGTCAGGAGCGTTGTGGCTTGTTCAAGGAAGGTGAGAGGGATGATGGGTTTTCTTACGCGCCGGTGGCGGATGGTTGTGCGCTCATGATATGGAAGGTTTCAGTTCTGCTTGTCAGTGCCCGCTAATTTTCACCTTAGTTACGTTTCGTTCTCCGCAAATTCAAGGTTTTTCATAGCTTATCATTCAGTGGGACTCAATACGCATGACAGTTAGCACCTACTACTCATTCCTCTTCAGTGCCATGTTTAACTCATTTGTTTACTTCTGGACCTTCTCTCCGACGCACGGGCCACCCCCTTTTTTCAGATATCGTCCTCGTCTTCGCATTCACTGCCCATCTCCCTCTCGAGTCTTCAACAACAACCCTCATTGCTCCCCTCATATCACTCAGTAGTATACACCCCCCAAACCCTATCATGATATCCCAACTTCCCCACCTCCCTTGTCAACCCACTCCTCCACTCCTCCCCCCTCACAATCCTCTCCAGCGCCCTCTGGAAAGTCCACTCCGGCTTCCACCCCAGTCCCCCATTTTCAGTTTCCTCCATCGCCAACCGCGAATCATAAACCCTATCCACCCTACCCAACCACTTCCACCCTTTCTGTTCCATTACCGCCCCAATACCAGGACAAAGTCGTTCTGCCACCTCGGCAAACACCTTCTCTGCGCCTGCTCCGTCAGGACTCGAGGTATTTAACCTCACCCAATCCTCCTGCGGCAGGTCCAAAAAGGGCGAAGGGCTACTAATGATGTACTTCCCAAAGTTGCGGCCTATCCTCTTGTTGCTGGTCCCGCGCGTAGACGTAGTTTGTTGTGCTCTTATAGAGGCCACGCAAGCCGAGACAATGTCGGCTATGTCCACTCTTCGGTATGCTAGTTCGCAGAGCTTGAGGTTTTCGTCTCCTAGCATGTTCCTTCTGTCTGCGTCGTCGTCGGCTTCGGGGAAGAAGCGGGAGGTTTTGAGGATTATTATGGGTAATGAAGAAGAAGAAGAAGAAGAGATCAAGTAGCACAGATCCTCGGCGCTGGATTTGGTTAGGCCGTAGATGTTCTTGGGCAGGCAGGGCGTTTGTTCGGTTATGTGGACTGCGGGTTTTGGGACGCCTGGAACAAAGAAGGGGAGGGGCGAGAGGGAACGGCCAAAGGTGGAGGTGGTGGAAATGTAGGTGAATGATTTGATGGTTGTTCTTTCCGAGTTTGTGTTGGCGTCGGGGTCGCCGGAAGTTGTGGTTGTAGTTGTGGTGGCAGCTGCTGCCTCAAGTAGCGTAAGCGTGTCGGCAATGTTTGTCTGGACAAACTGCGCTTTGGTGTGGGACTCGATGTGCGGCTTGTGCAGCGTTGCGCAGTGGATGATGTGCGAGATGGGCTCGAGATTGGGGTGGTTGGAAGAGGAAATTTCCGGTTGGGCGCGAAGCCAGCTGGGGGAGAAGAGGTTTTGGAGCAGGGAGGCGTCGCCGAAGGACCCGATGAAGGTGGTGGTTGAGTTGGGCTTGATGTCAAGGCCGATTGGAGTGTACCCGTATGAGGGAAGGGAGAGCATCAGGGCCCGGCCGAGATGGCCGGATGACCCTGTTACAAGAACGGTTTCGGGACGGAGAGTGGGCGTTGACGAGGCCATGCTGTTGGGCTGGTTGGGTTGGGAAATGTAAAGCTTGGAGATTTCAGGTGGTGGTTTGTTCACTTGTATGTTCTTTGATGAACCGAAGGCAGGCAATCGCTTCAATCTTTTTGTTTCTCTTTTTCACTTCTTCTCAACTCATTATCAAAATGTGATTGTGTTCTTGAACGTGAGTCACTCCGTCACTTCGGACATCACCGTCTGAGTCACGGCCCGTTCCGCATGGGATAACCGCCTTGATGGAGCGCCAAGGAAGGTATCGGCCACGTCAGACGAAACACCATGAATACTGATGTATTGGAAATTTTGGATGAAATTGACTGGAAGTGGAGGTAGAGGCCAAGGGCGTCATCATTTGGGAAGGGAAAGCGCATCCAAAGTGATTTTGATGTCTACCTCATATAAAGACATTCCGCGCTTACATCACTCCCAATCCATTTTCACTCCAGCTCTCGGACTTACCAAGTAACAGGCAGCTTAACAATGCCAACATCGCGGTCAAGCGGCGTGTATTCAATCTCGTCAAAAGGCACCGCAATCTTCAGATCCGGCAACTTCTTGAAAATAGTTTCTAAACAACACCCAAGTCAGCCAACAATTACTTCCCGTATGGGCACTCACATTGCTTCCACTACCAAACTTCTCCGGAGCCAGTTAAAACTCAAACCCACAAAAACGAAATTGAACTCACCAAAAACAGCCTTCAGCTCCGCCTTCGCCAAAAACTCCGCGATGCACCTATGTTCTCCCCACCCAAACCCGAGCTCTTTCACAGGCCACTCGCGATGCATGTCGAACTTGTCCGCATCCTTGAACACCTCCTCGTCGCGGTTGGCCGACAAGTTGGAGGCAATGACGCCCTCGCCTTTCTTGATGGTCTTGCCGCGGATCTCCAGGTCCTCCTTGGCAACGCGGCGGATGGCCATGGCCGAAGCGGTGTGGAATCGGCTTAGTTCTTCGACAAAGGCAGGGACTACAGAGGGGTCGCGCTTGAGTTCTTCGAGTTGGGAAGGGTTTAGGAAGAGGGTCACGATGCCCTGGGTGAGTGTGAACAGGAGGGAGAGTTAGCGGGTTTGGACATGGGATGGAGAATAGGTGCCTATGGTAGGTATGAAGAGGACGGAAAACGAACCAAGGCAATCATGTTAACCATGGTGGCATTACCAGCCACTAGCAAGAGGAAAGCCATCTGGACGGCATCGGCTGTGTCGAGCTTGCCGGTCTTGACTTGCTCGGTCATAAGCTTGCTGAGCAAGTCATCCTCGGGCTCCTGCAGACGCTGTTCGGCGAGACGGCGGAGGTAGTTGAGGAGTTCCCTAGGATGAAGTTAGTTTCTTGTGGAAACGACAAGCGCCAGGAGCATGGGGAAACATACTGATTAGCAGCAGATGCCTCTCGCGCTGTCGAACTTCCGTTCGTACGGATGGAGTTCTGCTGAGTCAAAAACTCGAGGTCCTCAACCGGAACGCCGAGGATGGTATATATGATCTACTCGCAAAGTTAACAAGTTCGCTTTACCACGAAAAGTAGACAAAAACCCCAAAACTCACATAAGAAGGCACCGGCAGCGCGAAATTCTGCACCAGATCCACCGGACCGCCCTCGCACCCCATATTCTTCATCCTCTCCAACAAGTCATCCACCGTCTTCTGGATGTACGGTTCCAGCTCCTTGACATGTTCCATTTCAAAAATCGGCTGAACCATGCCGCGATACTGCATGTGCTTGGGCGGATCCATGTCCACAAACGTGGCCCGATTCTTGGCCGCCTCTTTCCCTCCCGCGGCGAGCTCGGGGAAGCCGGGCCTCGTGCGCTCCTTGGACAGCCGCTCATCTGTGGCCACCTGGCAGACGTCGTGGTACTTGGTCACCAGCCAGGCGAGGCTGCCGTCGAAGAGGCGGACCTGGGTCACCGGGTCGGTCTTGCGGAGCCAGGCGTACTCGGGAGGCGGGTCGAGGCCGGAAGCACGGCGGAAGGGGAACTCGAGGTTTTCGGTGAGCGCACCCATTTTTATGGCTGGTGAGAAGGAAGCCAAGAATATACTGTGATTAGAGGATCAGGTAAGGATTGTTGATGTGAGAAGTCTCGTCGAGTGTATAAGTAAGTTGGGTACGAGCGCGGGTGCAGGATTTGAGTCAGGAAGCGCTTCGAGAACCTTTGTCAACACAACCGAGGGAGCCGGAGAAAGTAGATGGGAACTATTTGACTTCACATGCTTATGATGTCGAAAACCCGGAGTCCAGGTCTGCCATTGCCTTCAACGACCACGTACATGCAGCCAAACGCAACTGAATGCAAAGGGCAAGCCAAAAACAACCCTGCGTTGCCGGACTGACCTGAAGTCCGGCTTTCCCAAAATCATACGATAACGTCACTCGAACGTTCGTCTTGTGGGTTGTCAGCTCGTGATCGAGTTTGTAAACGTCACGGAAACGTCAAATAAACCAAAGGGAAGATGTCAGGCCACTCGTCCATGCACTTGCTTGCCCGATGCACGGACCAGGCACAGACCGGACGCCTAGAAAAGGTACGGGATGATACACAGGGAGGATACATGTGTGCTTCCCAAGCCTAGCCAGATTCCTATTATAGACTTAGCCGGGATCAACATCAACACCATAGAATACACAGTACATCAGTGCGGACATAAATGACCTGCAACACTCGGGCACATTCGTATCCAGACTTTGTGATATGGACCACAGTTAAGTAAAGAGGGACGAACAACATCCTTGGATACGAGAGAAATCTCATACTTTGGGTTTCAGGAGATTCTGTGGTTGTCAATACTCGTCTGCCTCTTTCTCTATCTGCCGAAGCGCTCAAAGGGGGGCAAAGACCAAATCATTTCTAAAACTGACAATGTACGCCTCATAAAGTGTGAGCTCGGAGAGCGAAATACTGCGGCAGTGATTGCGGTAACTTAGACATGCTGAGAATAGTGTTCGCTCTTCCCCTTCTCCGCATCATAACCAGTATCGCTTCCATTAGCAGCACCTTGGATGGCACCACTACCACCTTGCAGGAATCGGGTAAGACCAATCTCAGCATTGATCTCCTCCATGCGCTCATTGTCGGCTTGTGCAGTGCCTTCGGATCCGAAGATAATGTCCTGTGAGTGCTGTGTTAGTTGATTAACCCTTCGAAATGAGAAGAGGAACAGCATAGCCGGAACTATGAGAAGGGACACTTACCATCTCTTCCAAGGTTAATCTCTTCGTTTCCGGCACAAAGAACCAAATAAAGGCGGCACCCATATAGGTCAGCAACCCGAAGATGATGTACGTTCCGTACGGGATCGCCTTTAACATATCTGGCGTGACCTGGCCAACGATAAAGTTGTTCATCCAGTTGCTCGAAGCTCCTAGAGAGACACCATATGGCCTCGTACTCAACGGCCAGATCTCAGCAACAATGATCCAGGCACATGGACCCCATGAGTATCCAAAGTGAATGACGAATAGCCAGACCATGGCTACAGCAGCCCATCCAGCAGCCTTATGAGTCTCCCATTGGTCCACGTTCTTGGCAACAATGACAGCGATGATGATATGGCAGGTAGCCATCCCGAGGGCACCGATAGTAAGCACGGGCTTGCGACCAACACGGTCAATCCACAGCACGGCAGGAACCGTTGCGATGAACATGACAATGCCTACTACACCCGTAGCCAGGAGTGAAGTTGTGTTGCCGCTCAGTCCAAGCTGCTTGAAGATTTGCGGGGCGTAGTAGAGAATCGCATTGATGCCGGACCACTGCTGGAAGAACATGGTTACGGTCGCCACGACAACACGTCGGAACATTGCTTTTGTCCGGAAAAGCTTCTCTATGGCGACAAACTGGAGCTTAAAGGTATTCCAGGCTGTCTGCTCGCGCAATTCGGGAAACAATTCGGCAATGCTGCGTTTTTCAAAGAGAGACTGGGCCTTAATCTCGAGGAACTCGAGCTCGACAAGCTCGTGGTCTTGGGATAGACCGCGAAGGGTGGAGAGGATCTTTCGAGCTTCCGCCTCCCGGCCGTGGTGGATGAGCCAGCGTGGGGAGAAGGGCATGAACATCATGCCGAAAAACAGAATGAGAGCGGGGGCGAGTTGAAGGCAGACGGGTACAAGCCAGGCGGCGTCGGATTGGGTCTCGAGCTTGGTGCCGCCGATATAGTTGGTTCCGCTACGTAATATTTGATATCAGTGACCCCATAGTGTGACAGAAGTCGAAAACAAAGAAGACTTACTAGTCAATCCAGAAGCTGACCATGATACCGAAGCAGATAGCCAACTGCTGGAGAGCAACAAGAGCTCCACGGACCTCAGGTGGTGCAACTTCCGAGTTGTAAATGGGAATGATCATGGCTAAGGATCCGACACCCATACCCCTGTTGAGCAATGTCATGTTAGTAGGGGCTGATAGACGATTCAAGAGTAATCAGCCACGACCTACGTGATAAACCGTCCGGCAAGAATGGTCTCATGTCCTCCAGAGATAGACGTGGCTTGGATGACCACACCCAGCATGAAAACCAAGCACGCCACTAGCACACCGTACTTTCTCGAGAGAACCTCTGCCATGAACCCAGACAGAAGCGTACCAAGCCAAGCACCAAGCTCAAGAATTGCGGTTAGCCAGCCCTTCTTTGTCTGACTCGCGTTGGGGTCTATCGGATCGTATTCGCCCATGTCTGTTTGAGGTTCACCCGTAAGGTTAACAACAGTTTCGGGAATATGTGGCTTCAAGGATCGCGACTCACGTTTCTGAAAGGATGGCATGGCGAGGACACCCGAGAACATTCCTTGGTTGTACCCATAAAGCACACCGCCGATACATGCGAAGCATGCAATAGAAAAGACCCGGAAGTTCTTGACAAGTGCTGCAGGGCCACTCTTCCCCATCACTGCCTCACGCCTCTGAAGAGCGGCATCATAAATACCAGCTGCGCCGGAGCCGCCTCCACCACCCATCTTGACTGAAAGATTGAGGTTTCTTTGTCTTCTATAGCTGGGTACGCGTAGGTGAAGAAGAGGTCCTGCTTAGACGGCTCAACTGGACTGAGTGACCGAGAGAAAAACAAGCCTGCTGATGAAGGCAAGAAAAAGACAACGACAAGGTTTGACGATATTGATTGCAAGACAGGTAGCAAGAGGTGACCACAAGTTGATTGAGGGGCGACTGCAGACTATTTAATGACAACGGACGGCGTTCAAATAGAACATTGAGCCTGCCTTGTTAGCACAATCTTTGGTAAAGACCCTGAACGTATCACAAGTCCTGCAGCTATGTCCCAGTCTAGATCGGAAAGAGATGCCATCACAGTATAATAACTTCAGCTCAAGCGCAAGCGTGTGTTATTACCGGTGCGCATCATATTGAACCGCACCAAGAAGCATCGAGAGTAGCCTCGTTAGTGGTCGGTCTTTTCCATGCCGAGGGACTGTAACCCTCCAACCACACGTCAACACCACTCCGGGGGAAGATGAGGGGTAGACCGGCTGATGATCCCGTCGGCATGGGTGCTTCTGCATGCTTTTCGTGCCGTATATCGGTAGCACGGAGTTGAGTTTGAATGAACCTCAACCGTCAACATTATCTAGGTCGTGGAACATCGAGCTCGCAGTCCAAGCATCAAAGCCGTCATGACATCCGAACCCGCAAATTGACGGGTATCCTGTAACAATCGGTGAGGTGAAATTGTATGTGGTTTGAGCCGTCAAGAACAGACAGTCTGAACAGGCGTGCTCTGTTGTAGAGAGTATACGGTTGGTGACTAAGAACGCCAAGGCAGGGATGTGAGTATGTCAGTGAAGGCCAAGCAACGTCCATGGTGCAGATCTGCTCCAGATACGGCGTATCAGAAGGGCGCCGGTTGTTGGGGAAGCTGGTGCGTGGCCATAAGCGTGGTAGCAAGCTTTCAAATTAGCCTGAATAGCAGGCTGATATACCCCAGGCAATGCTCATTGGTCCATGGTACCCGGATTATGTAAATCGCCCATTGGCCGTGGTCCAGGAACTTTGCAAGAGAATATTCTCGGGCCATTTTGTATTGAATCTTTGTCCCATTCACATGGGGAGCTGTGATGGTGTCGAACAAGAGTCTTGTGGGGAGCGTTAGCGTAACGGTTGAAAAGGCTTATCTTCAGCCTGATGGTTCTGAATGGCTACGTGACGCTTCATGCCGTCCTTGGCTTCCGCCCGCCCGTGGACACTTGTTACCAAAGCTTTCTCCCACCCTACCTGCCGGTGCATAGGTCCCTGTTATACCAAGATTTGACATTCGCCTTGAAGATTGCGGGGACTTATAGTTTGTCGTTGAGCGTCCTGCACAATAACGGTGTGGTTACTGGCAATGTAACAAGACGGCCGACAACGCCTGCAATGCACACCAAGGGTTCAAGATCCCGCCAACCTGGGTCCAGTCGTGACAGGACTTGCTATCGGGTACGCACCTGCGGATGCGGTGTTGTGTCCCAGGGAAGTCTTGTGGAAGCGATCAGGCCCGGACGCCGTCACTATCTCCCGAGCAGCTGGGCCGCAGTAGAGCCCGCCGACTGGATTTGGTCACGGCAGCTGAAGCGGCATGAAGAGCCGACAAAAGCACATTGGGGCCAACTGACTTTAATGTCGCACACCTAAATCGTTCTCAGTGATGACCAGAAACATGTGGACGAGATACAGGTATGGCGGAGATTCCAAAGGCTCGAAACCGGGTCAACCACAAAATCTCCGGCGTTTGCCTATTCGGAAAAAAAAAAAAAAAAAAAAAAAAAAAAAAAACCATTGTCGGTGCGAAGGGAGAGGAAAGCTATGCAAAGGAGAGATGTTGCCGCAGAAGCCCACGTATCCTAACCATAGACGTAGCAGTCGTTGGATTGGTGAAAATGGCGAGAACAAACTGCCCATCAAGTGGAAGAGTCGGGGTCGCGGAGAAAAGGGCAGACCCGAATTGACAGACATTAAAATGCGTCAAGTTGGGAAAGCAGCGCTTCGAAACATGGGCGGTGTCACTGTGGATAGAGCCCAATTTGATTTGTTAGTGTGTGCTCACTTTTACACGCTAGTCTGGCCAAGACGATCATAGTCCTCTAACATGAGCAAACAGATCTGACAAAGAGCAGGGTAGTCGCTGTTAGGTAGGTGCTAGTGTCTTGGCAAAAGATGCACGTACCACCCTCGGGTAAACGAAGATCAGCCCCCACCGTTCCTTCGTTCCCTCTCTGTTCCCCAGATCGACGACCATTGATTGCGACTGTGACGCTGCAACGCTGCGATAGTAAGGTGCCATGGCGCTACATAGTTATGTTGTAGTCACTGTTGCTCCTCCTCTTTTAACGCGCGCCTGTTTCAAATTTTTTTGTCTTTTTTTTTCCCTTTGGGTTCAGCGACACCTCAATCTCCCGCCGTCAAACTTGCCTTCGTGATTCAAGTTTTCCCGACGATAACAAGAATCCTTGAACAGCCAAGGCACGCCTGAAGCTCTCTCGATGCACGTACGCATCTCGCTCGTCCATGACCAAATTGATCAGATCTTTGGCCGCAGCTTTAACGGGCGATCAACCAACTGGGCAGGTCAAACTAGTCCAACACACCTCTGCCGGCATTTAAGAGGTTAGCGCGGTAAACTACAAAGTGGCGATAACTTCATTTTCCGTTCAACAAAGGCCCCAACTCCCTAAATATCCCAAGGTGGCACTACCACGCCAACAAGTCATGTCGGCAGAGATGTACAAAGCTGTGACCCAAGGATAATCTTGGCTAAAGTCCGCTGGGGATATTTTCATCCAGGAATTGCAGAGTTCAGAGGTGTGATAAACACGCTCGAATGCGTAGTATGGAAGAGTATCAATGCCCAAGGATAATGTACTATGACCATGACACTTACAACCATTCGGCAGACTTCTCACCAATTTTGTCAGGGACGAGCCTCGTTCACAACCTCAATGAGTTGCCGTCAAGGTGCGACCTGCATTCCATTCAGTCAAACATGCAATCATCTCGCGGCAAACTCTACGCGATGCTACCCCTGTCCACACAGTAATCCCGCTAGTATCCCGATGCTTGCTGCATCTGTTGCCCCTTGTTGGCGGCCAAAAATCCCACGCTGATCCCTTTCTTTGAGACTTGAGTAGTACAACATCACTGACTTTGACCATTATCTTATCATCGCGCTTCACGTCGTCGGTCCATGCTACCATACCATTGAGCGTCTACCTAAACTCATTCTCATCCAGTTCCATTCTGCCGGGTCTGTACAGCTTTGCTCGGCAGATGGGTCAACCTTGTTGGCCCTTCTTTGCCTGCTGCTTGCAATGGCGAGCGGCGGCGGCCCGTACTGCGTCTGGTAGGCTGTTGGTCACATCATGAGGCCATTCCACCATCGCGGGTCCATAGGGAAGCTTCCCTCCTGGTTTCCAGGCCATCATGCCCCGTAGGGCTTGGTCATCTGCTTGCCCAAAATACTCACATCCATAGTCTATTCTTTGAATCGAGTTTCATCCGCAATTTCATTGCTGAATTCACAGTCTTTTTAATTTTTGAGAACACGGACCATGAGGCGAGACATATCTGGATATCTCGGGGCTCGGGAATCGCACAAGGCTGGCGGTTAACATACCTTCAAGTGGTTCTGTTAGACAGAGGACAGCATCCCTCCCGCTTCGTCGGCTATATTTGACACTGCACAAGCGTGCGTCTCTTTCCGCTTCCGCCAAACGATTTCCTCAGTCTTTACCATTGGGTCATCTCCGTCCTTGTCGCATCCCAGTCGATGTGGTAGTGATGGGTGGCATATGCCGTTCCTGATGGTGCAACGGTACCTGCGTCTAGTCCTGCGAACCGCAAACTGTCTCGCCTATCCTTCAGATTTGCGGCGGAGTGCGTCTAATGGTTGCCGTGTTGCCATTGGTCAAGCGATCTAACCGTTACGCTATTGGTACTTGGACCACAGAGCGGACATCAAAACATTCTGCCAACTCTAGTATGTCATGTCGTTGAGATTCAAGGTCAAATCAATCAATGATTAGAGCTGGGCTGGTTGAGCGGGCTCATATTCTTCATCTACTCTCGAATTTGCTTCGTTTTTTCTTATTAGGATCTGTAAAATGTCCAGTTCTCAGACCTCCAAGTGTACACATCCCCATGTAAACACCCCGGTTCAGCCCCAAGCTCCCCCATAGGGCATTAGCCGCCGTCCAACCAGCAATCTCCTTTTGACGACAACAAGTCTCCACTCCAAAAGGGCCTACTCTCGTAGCCGCCCAACTCCAAAAGAACGCCATGTCGAAACCCTCCAGCCACTAGCAGAGGCCGCTGCCGGCAGTACTCGCTCGTTTGGATACACTTTTTCGGTTTCAAGATCAGAAATCTGCCCTCCGTTCCTTCCTCTACCCTTGTTTCAGATCTTCCAACCCGGCAGCCATGCTAGAGTTACATCTCTACCCGCAGACATGGCCCTGCCTGACCGAGTCTACACTAGGCCGGTGGATTCACTTCTGTGGTGTTGACGTGGAGGTGGAGGTCATCTCACTTATAAGTCGACCCTCTGCTGCTCTCCAAAGCTCATCTGACGTGCATCAAACCCGACAAGTTCACCATCATCAATATTACTCCTCTCTTCCTATTTCCTAGGTCTCATTTTCTTTTCGGGGTCTCGGTTTCCTTATCACCATCTGTGTCTCCTCGATCAACATCGTTTGATACGAGCCATCTTCCTTTTGATACATCAAGTTTCTGCCTGTTACCTATCGAATACCATCATCTACTTCTCGTCTAATAGGTAATCACCTAATCAACCCGACACTCGACGGTTCGGCTCGGTCTCATTTCATTGCTTCATTTTTATCTCTTGATTTTCTTTCTACTTCCCATCAGTAAGGAAGAAGAGATTACCAGTCGACAAAAGCTTTATACATCATGCCTGATCTGTCCCGAACATCGGCTCATCACCACCACCAATATCAACATATTCCAGTTTCTCTTGGCCAGTCCGCTTCAACCATGTCATACTATCAGCAACCTCGCCAGGTCTCCTACTATGGGGATCTTTCCACAACAGCGGCTGCTCCCCAGATGGCCATGCCTTCATACGACGCTTATGCCGTCAGCGCAGTATCCTCAATGCAGATTCCCACTGCCACCATGGGAGGACCCGTGGGTGGATCCCTACCGGCACAGCATCGCGCCTCTTCTGGTGCGTGGAACCAGGACGATGACAGGGCACTGCTCGCCCTCCGCGCCATGGGCAAGAATTGGAACCAGATTCAGCGCGAGGCCTTCCCAAATAAGACGGGCAATGCCTGCCGAAAGCGTCACGAGCGGTTGATGGAGCGCCGAGGTCAAACCGATTTCGACAGTCTCAAACTTGAGCGTCTCAGCAAGGAGTATATGAGCATGCGTAAGGAGATCTGGAAGCCCTTGGCCGATCGCTGTGGCGAGAAGTGGCACGTTGTTGAGGCACAGGTATGTTTTTTTTTTTTCCTGTCCTATTTCGTTCCTGTCGAGTAGGAGACCTCTGACAACAAAGTTTGCAACAGTGCATGTCCAACGGTCTCAAGAACATCCAGTCCCACGCTCGTTCATACAGCCGCAAAGAACGTTTGGCAAACGGCCAATCCTCCTCAGGATATGACGATGATAGCGGCATCTCGGGAATCGGTCTGACACCCATTGATGACGACGATGTGGATGACTACAGCAGCCCCGAGCCCTCTGGCTCCATCCACGGCGGCGCACACTCTACTTCTGGCGGCAGCACCGGCAGCGGAGGCACCCCGTCTCACCAGGCATTCGCTCAGAGCAACTACCAGAACTATGGTTACCAACCCCATCACGGCTACAGCAACAGCGTGTCAAGCACGGGCACTACTGGCGGATATGCCCACCATGGCGGCTCGAGCCAGGGGACGAGTCCTTATATGGGTCACGGTAATCGTCTTCCTAGTGTGGGCGATATGGGAATCAACAATATCATCAATCGTGGCTCGGGACGTGATGCCAACTGAGGTTGTCACTTATGACCTCATCCTTCGTCTCTTTTTATTTTATTTTAACCTGTCTCTCTACATCCGTTAGTATCCTCAGGTTATCGTATCATTTCTTGTTTTTTCGTCTTGTCTTGAGTGGGTTTGGAAAGGGGGGGCATTGACGGACGGTTCTAACTGGGCTTACTACTACACTCACTATACCCAGTTGTGCAGCACAAGATGGCGTTCTATGGGTACACTTGTTTTATCGTTTTTTTTTTCAATTTTTTTTCCTGTTTGGGCTCAGGGTTGTTTTCGAGGCGTTTCTGGTGTCACTCACTGCCTTGCGAACGGCGTTCAAGGCTGTTGTTGTCGTTGGGATATGCAAAGTCCGCCTGAAGTGAGGCTTCTGTCTCTGTCACTAATGCATCTACACATGGATCTGTTCGTTTGCTTATTATGGTCAAGAGGTGTCTCACACTATATCTCTATTTCTATCTATCTTTATCTCGTGCATGGGTCTTTTTATCATCGAGGCTTACTCTATCTTCACACATGGCTTCACTATCCGCATTTCTACAACCCTTGCTTCTCTCAGGTATTCCTCTTGTTGTCTCTTCCACGTCATCGTCACTCATCGGCATTTTCAGGTGAGAGCTTTCCCTGCCCCTGTCTTTATGAACTGAAGCCTCTTTCGTAATGATTGGTATGCACTTTCATTCGGATTTCATCATCAGTTTGACCACAGAACTTTCAATAAGGGGGGAAAAAAAAAAGACGGCACAGGCATAGAGACAGCATGGCAGGCATAGACAGGACGGCGTAGAACGGTGTTGATAATGCTAAGATACCAATTTTTCTGGCAAACAAATATTTTGGCAATAGATAGGAACCAAGAAGTTCACTGAACACAACATCAGATAGTGGTCTCCCAAAAATCATCTCATCTTCTTTGCCCCTTCTTCCCAGTTTCGTTATACAGCAAGCGCGTCTATTCTTAAACTTCCACGCGCAACTCCTCGTATTGATACAGATACACACAAGAGCCACACGTAATGACTCTTGCTTCGTCTTGGCTTTCCATCCATTTTGTTCCAGTACTATACAACATTCTCATTTATACAATGCAAATCCTTGAGCGATGATGTGCTTCTTTTTGAATACCATTTATACCCTGAACCAAGTTTCCTTCCCAAAACACAAGATCGTACAAAAACATCACTTCTTCACGACACCCTTCACCACCTCTCCAACACCTGCCGCCTCCTCCTCATCTTCATCCTCATACACCCATTCCCCCTCTTCCTCCTCCGGCTCCCCAAAAACACTTCTCCAAACCCTCCCCCACATCCCCTTCTTCTGCGCCAGCGCCAACACCATGATCACGGGCAAATGCCACACACTAGCCCAAAATAATCCCCTCGCACTGCCCTTATGGCCCTCGAGCCTCCAAAACTTGATCGCCTCCCATACCAACCACGCATTAACCGGCAAACTCGTCACCGCAAAGCTCCACTCCGTCACGCCCGTGGCACTCAACCCGACACAAAGCGGAATAAACGCAAGACTATACCGCAGCGCCACGCGCCCGTTGCGTGCGGGGTTGGTCCACGCCAGCATCCGCAGGCCAGCAGCCTTGTACTCGTGTCTAATCCCCCATGAGAGAGGCATAAAGTGAGGGAATTGCCAGGCGAACAACAGGCCGGCGAATAACCACCCGCCCAACGAGCTGCCGTCGCTAGCGAAGAGGAGCTCGCGCCACGTGCCGTCGCCCGTGGCCGACTCGCCTGCTGCTGCGGCCCAGCCCATCAAGGGGGGGATACCACCGACGATGGCGCCCACCCACGTGTTCACGGCGCTGATGCGTTTGAGCGGGGTGTAAGCGCCCGCGTACAAGGCGATGTTGGCGGCGCCCAGGAAGGAGACGGTCGGGTTGACGCCAAAGTAGAGCGCCAAGGTGCCGGCGAGGCCGCAGCCTACGGCGAAAAGCACGGCGGCTTTGGTGGTGAGCAAGCGCCGGACAAGAGGGCGCGTGCGCGTGCGCGTCATCTTGGAGTCCGTGTCGGGCTCGTAGAGCATGTTGAGGGCGTTGGCGGAAGCGGAGCACAAGGTGGTGCCGGTGGTGAGGAAGAGGAGGGTGAGAGGAGATAGGGAGGGGGCGAGCGAGGTGTCGAGCGCGGAGGAGGTTAGGAAGGAGGGGACAGGGTATAAGGCGTAGGGAACCATGGCGGATAGGACGACGAGCACGGTTAGGCGCGGCTTGGAGAGACTGAGGAGCGAGGAGAGACGTCGCTTCAAGGAGTCGGCGGGCGCAGAGGCGGCGGCGGCGGCGAGTTGCGACGAGGCATCGGGTGCTAGGTCGGCGGTGGGAGCGTCAGGGTTTATGAGAGGTGTTGGTGTTTCGCCGTTTGCTGCTGCTGCTGCTGCTGCGGCCGCTGCGGCTTTTCGCTGAGCTTGTCGGCGACGGTGGGGGAGGAGGGTATTATCGACCGGCGGTAGGTCCGTGGCTGTCGTCGGTTGTGTTGTAGAGCTCGATCCATGGGCGGTATCAGCTGTTGTTGATGTGGTGGAAGCTACCGTGCTGCTCCGTTGGGAGCTGGCCGAATCGTGAATGCCATTGGCTTTGACGCGGGGGAGAAAGGCATTGGAGACGAAATAGCCGGCCTTGAGGCGTTGTGAAGGGGTCGCGGCTGGGGCGCGTGAAGTTGTAAGAGTCCTCCTTAGGGTACCGGGCAACCTGCTCTGTGGTACTATTACTAGTCTCGGTTGTTGACACACGACTCTGTCGAGGAGGACATTGCGTCGGAGGGTGGACGTCGGCGGCCGCATCGTTCGGGGGAGAAGATTTCAGGTGCCGGCTCGAATCGCCATCGTCCGTCGCTTTGGTAATCGGGAGAAGCGACCGGGGTCGGGGTCGGCGTTGGCGTTCCGGGCGAATTCCAGATCGAGGATAAGGGAAAATGGGACCAGGACGGGACCTGACTGGGCGGCCGAGATGGAAATCGTGAATGGGGAATCGGAGCCGGCAGACAGCGGGCGGGTGGGCGGCCAACTGAAGCCAAGCAAATGCCCTGCCCTGCAGTCAGTGTGTCTCCACTTAAAAGCTGTCCCCCACTAAAGTCTTCGTTCTTGGGGTATTTTTGTGTATACAAGTAGCTTAGACGATTGGCATTCTCCTGGATTTCCTAACTTCCACCAGACCAATTCAATTGTCAAAATCCTCTCCTTGGTTCCAACCACGATAGGTCTCACGTTCGGCTTCCATTTTGCTTCAAGAAAAAAAGCCCCACCAAGACAAGCTACGTTAAAACAGCGGGATAAGCCCCCGCCGAGGTGCTGTGGCCCGTGCAGAAGGTACCAGCTCTCTCGAGTTCTCAATGCCGGTGCCCTTGATCAGGACGGGGGAGCTTGGGTCAATTTTGAATCATCAACTCCCCGTCAATGACGACGATTACACTCTATCATATCCTGGGGAAAAGCCCCCTTCCCTACCAGACATCTATCGAATGACCGACATATGACCGCAGTCTTTCAAGCTGCAGAAACCACAGTGGAAGAATCTCTCGAGTTTCAAAAATCTCAACAACTGAAGAACCTTCTGTCTTCTAGAGAGCCGGCGCGTTCACCCGCTGTAACATCGCGTTCATGGGCGGCTTGAATGCCTCTTTAAGCGCCGGTTCTCGGGGAAAGGGCGTCTAAGTCGCCAATGACGCCGCTTGTCATCCCACGGTGTCTCCCTTCCTGGAATTAAACGCCACAAGCCCGCGCAATCCGTCTCGTCTAGGATCTCTTGACATGCCTTCGAGAATCGGTGCATGCTTCCCAAAGGTGGTCGTGGTACTTTGGCGATCTAAACTGGTCGTGCATTTGATGCCCCTGATACCGTTATGACAGTGCTTCCAGGCCAGGCGCATCACTACACCATCTCTCGCGAACACCATAACCGGCGCTTGTCTCAAGTGTCCCCCCGTTTCAGTCTATATCCTACCAGGACAGACAACCTCCACAAATAAATTCTCTATTTCGGGTCTTAGCCTCGTAGCGGGCTGAGCCATCTGCGATCTCCCTTGCTGACATGGGCGCCTAGCACAACATCGAGGGGTCTGCCATTTTTGATCGCAAGGCCCTTCCACCAAGGTCAAGGGATGGGTGGTTACAGTTTCTTTACCTGACGGCAAATGCTTACAAAAGTGAATAACTCCAATGGCTAAAAGCAAAGTTAGCCCGATGTATCAACAGTTCGGCTCGCGAGCTGTACTTCAGCATCTTTCTCTACCCTAAAATGTACGTTATGAAATCCAGAAACCGAGGCATGCATTAAGTCATATTCTATAGCCCTCTCTATGAATGGGTGTTTGGGTCGCTTGAAGCGCATCTTGATCTCGGGATTCATCATATACCGTTTGAGGTCGATTTCAGCATGATTTGGTTACAGAGTAGTTGACCTTATGAGTGGTACAGCCAGAAACGACCTCCAACAACAAATCGGACCATATCAGTTCAATCGGGTATGGTGTAGCGGTAACATCGTTGACTCTCACTTCTCAGGAGTGACTGCTCTCTCAACAGCCCCGGGTTCGACTCCCGGTATCCGAGTCTCCAAATTCTTTTTTCCTTTTTCTTCTTTTTTTTTCTTGTTGCTTTTCGCATGGTCCATCCCTTCATTGTTGTGTTTGCTAATTCTACACTATCGAATATTTCCCGTCAACATCCCGTCCGTTCTGCTTGGACCCCTCTTTCTGCACTGCGTATTTTATCCCGTAGCCGACTATGAAACACCAAACAGCGGTGCCCTACCTACACTACCCGGCGATAGATCGGCCTAATGTCGTCATCGCCCGGACCTTGGACAAATGGTCCCTGAACGAGTGGTGGGAGATCGACATGCAAATCAGGACATCCCAGAAATAGAACTCCGCCTTCACTTTCCCATTCTACTTACTTACTCTATTCATCGATTCTTGCCATTCACATCGATATATTTTCTACGTACGGTCTATCGCGGTCCATTTATCCTGCAACTCCCCCCCTCCTGTACCCAGAACACCGAAGCTGTACAACAAAATCCCACCAATCACGATGGCTTCCCTTCTCAATCAGCTTCGTGGCTTGACCACCGTCGACTGTGACACTCTCGACGCCCAAGGTGAGCAACACAATACGGCTATCTCCGCCGAAAACAAAGTAACACGCTTTGACAGTCGCGCGCATATACGGTCCATTTGCGGATTGTACATCGAATCAGGTATGTCTGTCTGGCTCGAATACCACCAAGCTCAGCGTAACCACTCGGTGAGACACAGAAGAACACACACAGCATTGCTAACACGACCTAGGCCATTGTTCTTGCTGAAATTACCAAACTTGACGCCAATGGAAAGCTCATCTACCAAACTTTGATCGACGAGATCATTCCCATCGCCCACTGGATGTTTGGGAACCAAAACGATGCCACGGTAGAAGAGCTTGCCTCCGAGCTGCTGGCCGTTGGCCTCGCCCTGCGCTTCATTCCCCATCTGAACGGCTTCATTCACATCCAGACCAACCCAAAGTGGTGTTATTCCACCGAGAAAACTGTCAAGAACGCCGAGAGTAAGCAAGCCTACACCGAGCCCCAACTCAATATAGCCAAGCTCTCTGACCAATCCACCCATCTACCCAGGAATCGTCGCCCACCTTAAACACCTCGCCCCCGACTTCGATACCTCGCGCATATGCATCAAGATCCCCGCCACCTGGGAAGGCCTCCAAGCCTGCCGCGAGCTCGAGCGTCGGCACTCCATCGCCACTCTAGCGACCATCGTCTTCAGCATGGAGCAAGTCGCCCTCGCCGTCGACGCCGGCTGTCGCTACGTAGCGCCCTACGTCAACGAGCTGCGCGTGCACTTCGACGCCACCTACACGGACGCAAACAAGGACCGGGCCGCCCTCTTTTGCGGCGCGGCGCAGCGCTACTGCGACGAAGTTGCTTCCTCTGCTTCTGCCGCGGAAGCCGCGCATGGGTCCTTGAATCTGCAGATGCAGACGCAGGTCCTGGCTGCTTCCTTAACGAGCGTGGAGGAGGTGATGAGGCTGGCCGGAGCGGTGAAGCACATCACGGTGAGCCCGCCGCTGTTGATGGAGCTGGAGGCAACGCCTGCGGCGGGATGGCCGGGTGCGAGCACGGTCGGGGCTGCGGCAGCGATTACGGGCTCGAGGGTAAATGGTGATGCGGTCAGGTTGAGGGAACTGGTCAGGGACCAGAGTCAGTGGCGGCTGGCGTTCACGAGGGCCGAGGCCGGCGAGAGTGAGAGGAAGTTGGGGCAGGCTATCGGGATTTTTTGCGATATGCAGGATCAGATTGAAAGGTTGGTGAGGCGGTGGGATTTGACGGGGAAGAATTATGCGAGAGGCTAAGTGGGTGGGCGTGTTTTCATCGTTGTACGTGATATCGGCCTTGCTTTTTCTGCCTTCCCTTTTCGAAGTTTGGACCCGGCGTGTCTGGCGTTGGGTTGGCAAGTCAGGAACCGAGCAGCGTGGACCGTTGCTCTCTCTGGAGTTTAGAAGACATGCTGGACATGATTTGATTTGCAACACCCAGGTTGATATGTTAACCGGCGAAACAGTCTCGTAGGCACCGACTGGAATCCTCGCCTTTCTTTCTCATCTAGAAAAAAAGTCATTCGCTAATGTAAAGACGACCATCACCCATGCTTGTAGAGACGACCATCACCCATGCTTCTGAATACCGCGTGCCATCTCTTTGAACCAAATTGATGTGCTCTTGCCGGGTGACAAATGCCAGCATCAACACCCGCGACAGCAGTCTGAGCTGGATGAGACATAAGGACATCGTCGCGGAACCTCACGCCGGCATGATGCCGCTTTTGACGCAATCAATTTATCTCGACCCGTACCTGCATTTCTCCCTTTCCGTGGAATAACGCCGCAACGTGCTCCGCCGCAGAATGGAGACGGGAGGTATATGGTACACTGCAGCGCATGACATCAACCCATCCACTGCACTGCACGCCCGGCTCCATCAATGATCGACTTTTACGTTCACTCACCGGGTTCACTCTTGTGACACGCTCATAGGACGGAAATAGATTGGAATCCCGAACTCCATCAGTCCGGGCTTTGAAAGAGCAAGAAGTCGAGGGTTGCGCTTGAGGATGCACAGCGGATGGCGTTATTGATCTCTGCCCCTTTTTACCAACCCGACAGCTTGAATACGGCCTTCAAACACCTACTATGTAAGTATGTGAAGAGAAAAGGAGAGAACATTTCCTAGACTCTGTATAGCTTCTCCCGTCCGTTCGACAATCCCAAGTCACAGCAATTTTCAGGTTCGAAAAACATCTTCAGCCGTTAAACGTCCCGGTTCCAGCGTCATTGATGAGCGAGGAAGCACCCGCTTCGTCTCTTCGTGCCGGATCGGTGTCATGATCATCTGATAACTCGCCCACCTACCCGGAGACCTGAGGTTAGCTGAGCGATTCCTCATGAGCTCACGAGATCAACAAGGATGTTCCCCAGGAAAGGAGCTCAGGGTATGCTCGCCAAGCCGTTGGTTCCCCGGATAAAAAGAAGCCATTGTCCCCTCCGCTTCCCCGCAATGCCTCACACCAAGCCCGGGCATCTGGGGGATCGCTTGGTCCGCCTTTTTTCCCCCAAATCTTTGCTTGTTTCGATTACCCGGTCTACATCGCTCCTCATCTTCAAGATAGCCTCGCTCTTGGCTTTTTTTTTTTTTTTTTTTTTTTTTTTTGGATTTCTATCCTGGCCCAGGAGCGATGAACATACGCGTAGATACTCTAGGCTGGGCTGATAAGCAGGAGATTCCTTGGTCTCCGGTTTCTGGGTAACCATGGCGGGGTGGGCATTTACCGTTGGGCATTGTTCAACTTGATCTCAAAAGGCCCCCTCCCCCAAAAAGAGGAAAAAGGATGCTTCACGTTTGGCACCCCCACACTGGAATGCGGGTTACATCCTGAGATTGCGGGACAAATGTCCCTCGCCAATAACCTCACCGACCAATCATAAAGTAACAGAATCTCTCCCCAGAACCCCAACCTCGCTCGCTGGCCCTTCCCCAAGCTTCATTTTATCCGCTGTGCCAGTAGCAATCCGCCGCCTCCATTTCCAACTTTGGTACCTGGGGGTAAGGCAGCGTGGTCGAGGGTGGTATTTGCCGGTTCACTAGCCTCTCGTGAGAAAAGCGAGCTAGGTTGACAGGGTCAACGACGACCTTCCGGAAGAAACGAATGCCACCTATCCGAACGGTTTACCTTCCTAGTTGATTTATTTATCCACAAACATGGTAAAGGGTAGAAGCACTATGCCGTCACCGGGAGCATATGGATCATCTTGTGAACGCTCGCTGCTTCAGTATATCATCCCAACCTACGCCAGTTGATCTGTGATGCTGATGCCTTTTCATCGTGTTGTTCCCGTGCCGCCAAAGAGAGAGCTGTCTCGATCATTCGTTGATATCCCCACTTACTATACAGTTGCTACTGTATAGCTTGGGTATAGCGTGCCATTAAGTCCTCCTCACAATGCTCCTCACGGGTGCCAAGGGGACCTTATGGCTCGCCTTCACCTCCATGGTCGCGGCCCTAGGCCAGGAGCCCATCATCTCCTTCGACAAAGCACCGGGTGCTCTCCAGATTGCTGGTGGCAAGATCTCCAAAGGTCAAATCCGGGTGGCCAAGAACGAGTACTGGGGCGTCATCCGCGCTGCTGGTGATCTCGCTCTCGACTTTGGCCGCGTCACTGGCATGAACTACACCCTTTCCAACGGCGAAAGAGGTGCCAGTCCGGCCGTTTACACCTACAACCCGGTCGATAACATGAACAACACTCATGTAAGTATTTGCGAGCACCAAGAGAGCCTGGACCGCCGGTTCAAGTTAGGTACGTAGCTGACAGCTCAACAGTACAGCACCACTGGAATCGCAAATTTCACCGGACCTGCTTACTCCGACCCTTCCCCGTCTGATACCGTCATCATTGCCGGCACAATCGGACATTCCGAGGTTATCGACAGCCTCATCGCCTCCAAGAAGCTCGATGTGTCGGCCATCAAGGGCAAGTGGGAGTCTTTCACCAGCCAGGTGATCGAAAACCCCATCCAAGGCTGTTCTTCGGCACTGGTTATTGCTGGAAGCGACCCTCGCGGAACAATCTTCGGCATCTACGACGTGAGCGAGCAGATTGGCGTCAGCCCTTGGTATTTCTGGGCCGACGTGCCGACCAGGCAGAACAAGAACATCTACGCCCTCAACAAGAAAAAGGTCCAGGGGCCGCCGTCTGTCAAGTACAGAGGCTTCTTCCTCAACGACGAGCAGCCGGCCTTGACCAACTGGGTCGAGGAGCACTGGGAAAGAACGCCCTATGGCGCCGGCTACGGGCCTGCCTTCTACGGCCTCATCTTCGAGGTTCTGCTTCGTCTCCGAGCCAACTACCTCTGGCCCACTGTCTGGGGAACCATGTTCGAGGTGGATGACCCGGGCAACCAGCCTTTCGCCGACGCTTTCGAGATCGTCCTGGGTACCTCTCACACCGAGCCCATGATGCGTGCGCAAAATGAGTTTGGCCACTTCTACCAGGGCCCTTGGGCGTACAACCTGAACAACGAAACCATCGATGATTACTTTCGCTACGGTGTCCAGAGAGCCAAGCCCTATGCGCGCAACAGCTTGTGGACGATGGGCATGCGCGGTACTGGTGACACGGCCATCGAGGGTCTCGGTGTTGACCACATTGTGGACATGCTGACCACCTTGGTCCACAACCAGCGTCAGATCCTCGCCGAAGGGTTGGGTGTATCCGACGTTACCACCGTCCCGCAGGCGTGGTGTCTGTACAAGGAGGTCATGACCTACCTCTTCGCCGGCCTGGAGGTCCCCGACGACATCACTCTGCTGTGGGCCGACGACAACTGGGGCCATGTCCGCCGACTTCCGCTGCTCAACGAGACCACTCGTGCCGGAGGCGCTGGTGTTTATTACCACTTTGATTACGTCGGTGACCCGCGCAACTACAAGTGGATCAACACCGTGCAGCTTTCCAAGACGACCGAGCAGATGCACATGACGTATGCCCGCGGCGCTGATAGAATTTGGATCGTCAACGTTGGTGATATGAAGGCGAACGAGATCCCCATCAACCACTGGTTCGACCTGGGCTATGACATGGAGAGATGGGATGTTGACAGCACCGAGGAGTGGGCCAAGACCTGGGCCGCCCGCGAGTTCGGCTCCACGTATGCCGATGAGATTAGCGATATCATGATCAAGTATGCCATGTACGCCAGCAGACGCAAGTTTGAGCTCGTCGAGCCTCAGACCTACTCGGTCATCAACTACAACGAGGCCGACGCGGTTCTGCAGCAGTGGGCTGAGCTCCGTGCCCATGCCCAGGCTGTCTATGATAAGCTTGACGAGGCCTACAAGCCTGCCTTCTTCGAGATGATTCTTCATCCTGCCATTGGCGGTGAGGTCGTCCACAGGATCTATGCGGGTGGTGCGAAGAACTTGCTGTATTCTGGCCAGAAGCGCAACTCTGCCAATGAGGTGATCAACCAGGTTTTGGCGGCGTCTGACGAGGACTGGCAGTTGCAGGAGCGCTGGGATGCCTTGCTCGGTGGCAAGTGGAGGCACTTTATGGATCGTACGTTGAACCCTTGTGGTCAAAAGGAATTCGTAGGAGTTGTGCTAACCTTGGACTGGCAGAAACCCATCTTGGATATGACGGCTACTGGCAGCAGCCTATGAGGAATACCTTACCTGCCATGGTGTACGTCCAGACACATTTTGTGTCTTTGGCTGGCCACGTTGGTATCGGTGTTGAGGGTTCGAACGCAACAGTCCCGGGTGACGACAAGTACCACGCCAACAGCGGCAACAACCTCTCGCTCCCACCCATGGATCCCTATGGCCCGGCTACCCGCTATTTTGACGTCTTTTCTCGCGGCACCAAGGACTGCACCTGGCAGGCGGCTCCATGGCAACCATGGGTCAAGCTGTCGCAGTACAATGGCACAGTTGGACCTAAGGGATCCGATACCCGCGTCCAAGTCTCGATTGACTGGTCCAAGGCGCCCAAGGTACCTCTTTCCAGCACTGTGAACATCAACGTCACGAACTCGTGCGGTGGCGGGCCCATGGTCCAGGTCCCCGTGCAGATCCATTCCGTGCCCTCCGACTTTACCAAGGGCTTCGTCGAATCCGACGGGCACGTCGCCATCACGGGCGCCCATTACTCGGTCATCATCCCGCCCAAGGAAAAGTCGAAGCTCAACGACAAGGTAACTTACCACACGCTGAGCAAGTACGGCCGCAGCGGCAGCGGCATCGGTCTCGTGCCTCTCAAGACGGAGAAGTTAACCATCGAGACCGCGCCCGCGCTCGAGTACGACCTCTACTTGTTCACCAACCACACCAAGGCCAACGTGACCGTCCTCATCTCCCCAGCACTCAATTACCTCGGCGAGTGGACTCCTCTCGAATACGGCATCTCCTTATACCCCGCCGGCGCATCCACCCCGTCTGAACCGAAGATGGTCCGCCCCGTCGGTCCCACCGTCGGCGCCAACATGCCCGAGGGCTGGGGCTACGCCGTCGCCGACAGCGTGTGGGGCACTGTCGGCAACTACACCACCAGCACCTTTTCGGTACCTCAGGAGGGCGCGTACAAGCTCCGCTTCTGGGCGCTCATGCCGGGGATTGTGGTGCAGAAGATCATTGTCGATATGGGCGGCGTCCGCAAGAGCTTCTTTGGCCCGCCCGAGAGCTTCATGGTGGGCAGAGACCAGGTGGGGAGGTATAACCAGACCAGCTTTTTGGCGGAGGTTGATACGCTTGGAGGATTGTATGAGAAGCAATAGAATAAGGGTGGATGGGTATTGTTGGATGGCATGGGGTTGATTTGAAAATTGAAGCTCTATGAGCAGCGAGCGCGTTTGATGTTTTTAGTACCTATTTCTGTCTCTTAGTGACATGACCTTGGGGTCATTGAAGCCACACAAGCTTGCGAATGGATGCCCTGCGCAAAGATGGAAGTCGAGATGAACGAATGGCGGTGTTCTGTGGACTTTGTGTGTTGCAACTTGAAGCTGAGTGGAAGTGGAAGTGGAAGTGGAAGTGGAAGTGATGAGTGATGAGTGATGATGATGCTGCGCTGTACCGCTGTTCCGTCATTGCACCTGTCAGCCACTTGTTCAACGCTAGCTGCAGCTGTAGCGCTGTGGTGAAACAAAGTTTAGCCTGTTTCAGTGGGCAGACCCTCGCCAGACTGGGCGGGCAGCGCCAGGGCTTCCAACTTACGCTAACATCCAAGTGGAGCCTGCCACCTCAGCAAATCGTTGTTGCAGCAACCAGCGGGGCCCGATAAACACGCTTCTTCCATTCCACTTCCCTTCTTCCCTTCCTGGAGCCGGCCGCGGTGGTGGAAACCAACATGGATGGAATCGATTTGTAGGTCCAGGGCATCCATCATTCTTCTCCTCTCCTTCTCTCCCTTGCGTCCTGCATTAATTCGTTCTGCATCGATCACGGGTCGCATCCATCGGGCTTGTTGTTTTGTTCTTTACTCTTTTTCTTATTATTTACTCTTGCATGACCCACCACCGCCCCTCCATCGTCAACATTGGATCGCACATCACCAACAACTCAACCAACGCCTTGGAGGGACCAAGTACTATAACGAAAACCTACTACTATCGTACCACGACAGACAGGCAGACACACTACATTTGCAAACATAGCCCACAACATTTACGACACGACCGACCTCACAGACTGAAGTACGCGACGACGACCAAAGGAAATCACCTACCTGTATCGCTCTTATTTCTTTCTTTCTTGGAAGACACGACGATATCCCGACCCAACTGCCACTCTCTACTGCCTGCCTACTTACCTAGCATTCCAATACACATACTTTAACGGTCCTTTGTTTTACCCGGGCCCTCGCTTTGCAGCCAAAATCTCTACAAGAAGGACGCCGGCTCCGGACCAAAGGAAAAGAAGGTGGGCCGAGCCGGCTACGGACATCAGCAGACAGACAGGTGGAGGTGCGAGGATAAGAAACCCCCAAGATGTCGGGCTATCCAGACCCGAACGCTTCGTCCATTACGGTCGCAGGTATGTTTCGCAACTCTGTGCGGTCCGTGTCATTGCTTTCTTGCTTGTTGTTTTTGTTTTGCTTTGTTGTTCAAAGAGGAATGCGCTGGCTGACTTCAAGTATGCTATAGTTCGTGTCCGACCGTTTACAATTAGAGAAGCTGCCCAACTGTGAGCAATACCACTGTCTTACACATGACGCGCTCGACAGACTGGACGAACCGAGGCTGACAGATGCCATTGCATACAGGGTCAGGAGAGATGAAGGCACGGTATTCCTGGGAGACGGGTCGCTGGCGGCCGCGCCAACCCCAAAACTCAACCAGAGGGGAATCCGGCCCGTGATCAAGGTGGTGGACGATAGATGCCTGTAGGTTCTCTTTCCTATATGCAGGACCGATGAGATATCCAAAACCAGAGACGCTAACAAGTCCGCCGATGACAAGTGTTTTCGATCCTCCAGAAGATAACCCAATTCAGAAATTCTCTCGATCAGTCGTGCCAGCGATGGGCAAGAAAGTCAAGGACCAAGTCTTTGCCTTTGACCGAATATTCGACGAGAACGCCTCCCAGGTGGAAGTCTACGAAGGCACAACCAAGGGCCTCCTGGATAGTGTCCTTGACGGCTACAACGCGACTGTCTTCGCTTATGGCGCCACCGGCTGCGGCAAAACCCACACCATCACCGGAACGCCACAATCTCCGGGCATTATTTTCCTCACCATGCAGGAGCTCTTCGAAAAGATCAACGAGCGCAGCGGCGAGAAACACACCGAGGTCACGCTCTCCTACCTTGAAATCTACAACGAGACGATTCGGGACCTGCTGGTGCCTCCTGGCAGCGCCACGAACAAGCAAGGGTTGATGCTGCGTGAGGACTCGAATCAAGGAGTGAGCGTCGCCGGTCTGACGAGCCACAAGCCCAAGGATGTGCAGGAGGTCATGGACATGATAGTACAAGGCAACGAGTACCGCACCGTATCCCCCACCGCCGCCAACGCGGTCTCGTCACGTTCACATGCCGTCCTGCAAATCAACGTGGCGCAAAAAGACCGGAACGCTGCCGTCAATGAACCCCATACCATGGCCACGCTATCCATCATCGACTTGGCTGGAAGCGAGCGCGCCAGCGCAACCAAGAACCGTGGCGAACGGCTGCTTGAGGGCGCCAACATCAACAAGTCCCTCCTTGCGCTGGGCAGCTGCATCAATGCGCTCTGCGACCCGCGCAAGAGCAACCATGTCCCCTACCGAAACAGCAAGCTGACGAGGCTGCTCAAGTTCAGTCTAGGCGGAAACTGCAAGACGGTCATGATTGTATGCGTGAGCCCGTCGAGCGAACACTTTGACGAAACGCAAAACACGTTGCGGTACGCGAACCGGGCCAAGAACATCCAGACAAAGGTCACGCGCAATGTCTTCAACGTGAATCGCCACGTCAAGGACTTTTTGGTCAAGATTGACGAGCAGATGGCCCTCATCAACGAGCTCAAGGCCCAGCAGCGCGATGCCGAAAAGGTCTTCTTCGCAAAGTTTCTCAAGCAGAGCGAGAAGCGCGATGCCGTAGTGCGAGAGGGCCTGGCCAGGCTGCACGCCGCCTACGAGCACGCTGAGAAGGACCGCATGGAGGTGATCGGGTTCATGAAGCAGCAGCGCGCTATTGAGAGAAGGATCGGTCTATTGTCGTCTTGGATTGCAGCCTTTGATTCCGTTTGCGATGCCCGCGGGTGCGCGAGTGAGGAGGAGATGCCTGCTCCCTTGACAGCCATCCGCAAGACCGCCGTCGGGATCCTGAACGAGCTCGAAACCACTAGAAATCATATCCACCAGCGTCTTGGGAGGTGTAACTGGGAGCGAGCCCTTGATACAGCGTTTCAGCACAGCATTTCGCAATTACCTGCTATGGGCGGGAACAGCGAAGGTTGCAACGCTGAAAGGGACATTCTCGCGCGGGAGGCGGAGTTACTAAGAACAGGATTCATGCGCGATGCGTACCACGAGGTAGTTGAGCAGGATAAGGCTGGTAATGCAGCGATCTTACAGACATTACTAATGGCGCAGTTTGAGATCATGGCGAGCCTAGAGGAGTTGTTGAGGATGGAGGAGCGACAGGCGATGGAGCATGCGAAGGCGATGGTGAATAGGCTGTTGGAGACGGGACTTCAGGCGGTTGGCCAGGTCGTCAAGCCTGATGGAAGTCTTTCGACGGCTGGGTACCAGGGAACAGGACTCAGTGTGCCCAAACTGAGGAGGAAAAGTGGTGCGATTAATGGCGCAAAGACGATTCCCCAACCGGTGTTTTCCGCCAGCGCGGCGCTGACAACGGCAATTCCGACTTCGACTGAGACTGCTATGGACATCTCGACGGAGCCGGAAGCGGATGTAGAGGGGCAACTGGAGAGCTGGGACGGGGAGAGCGTTCCTCATCTTTCACCAGTAAAGGCCAGAAAGGTTGCCTACGCATCATCCAAGAAGGCCGGCACATCGTTTACATTCACGCCCGTAAAGAAGAAGCATTCTGTGCGATGGAGAGACGATGAAACTGAAGAAGGAACACTAGCCGACTTTGAGAAGACGCCGCAGAAGTGGGACTCTAGTCCGGGCGAGCCTGAAAATGGCATTTCGCCTGTTCGACCGCCGATGCCGAGTTACCTTGGCGGCATGAAGAGCCCTCCACCTCCACAGCGCGACAATACCGACGAGGACGTAGAAATGGACGACGGGGCCGGCCCGGCATTGTCATCGATCCCAGATCTTTCGGGGCTATCTATCGGCAAGCCGAACCGGTTCCAGGCCGGATTCTTGTCCAAGTCTAGGACTTCACTGGCTGGATCAACCCCTGGAGCGACTATCACTGGTAACGGAGTACTTCAATCGCAGCCACCACCGGTCTTTAACTTGAACCTGGCCAACAGCAATAACTCCATATCACAGCAGAATGGAGGTAACGAGGATAGACCAGCGCAGCCGTTGAGGAGCATTCCCGTGAGTCGAGCAGCTAGTGCCTACTCTTCGCCGATATCATACTCAGCCAAACCGCCGAACGCGGCTCCTTCAACGACGAACACGATAAGCAGCGGCAACCACGACGGAAGCCCCAAGATTCCACAACCACCAACTACGTCCTCCTTACAACAGGTTGACGAAAACCAGCCACCCATCACCGCGCGCAAGTCATCGTCTCGATTGTCACTCGGCTCGGCCATTCCGCGCCGCCTCTCTACCTCACCCCGTTCAGCTTCTGGAGGCTCGACGGACTCGGATAACTCCCTAGTCATCGACCCCCTCAAACTCAGATCGGCCCTGCAGGAGAAGAAACGTCGCGACAGGCTTAGCTTGATGTCGGGCACCGCAGCGTCGATCGCCAAGGCCAAGCGAAGGGCGTCTAGCGCGGCGCCACTTTCAAACGGCCCCGGTGGCGGTAACGGCTCGGCTTCGACTCCAGGGCCAGCGGCGTCACGACCGAGCATCGCCAAAGTCTCGCATAGGGCCAGTGTCGGCCACGGCAGATCGAGCATCGGCGGTCACAGAGCCAGTTTCGGAGGCAGTCTGCACGGAAGAGCCAGTATGGGCGCTCACCACCGTGCTAGCATCGGTGCGGGCGGCCACCCGGGACTTGGAGGAGCTGGGCGGAGAAGCAGTATGGGCGTGGGCGGCAGCGGCCCACTGGCTAGCGCCACCAATGGTATTTCGAGACATCGGAAGGGCAGTGGTCTAGAAAAGTCGGGTGCGGTGGCTACCACTAGGAAGGGAGGTATTCCGTTGCCGACTATCGCGGGGTCGCCTCCTGTTAGAAGCGGGACGACAGGGTTGGCCGCTAGGAGGGCCAGTTTGGGTCCGAATAGCGCGTGGCTGGTGGAGAGCGGGATGATGGGGCCGAAAAGTGGCATTGGTTTGACGAATGCTCAACCTAGGAGGATGGGGATTAATGGAAATGGAAGTGGCTTCGGCAAGGGAAGTCCAAACGGAGGTGAAGAAGATAACAATTCTGCGTCAGGGACGACGGCCGCGAATAGGCTGAGCGGGTTCGGATCATTTGATGGTAAGAATAGGAGAATTACCATTGGGGCTGGGCCGATTGGTAAGAAGTCGAGCTCTTCCCTGTGGCAGTAAGGATGGGGGGAGCGATCGTATTGCATAGCGTAATTAGCATGGAAGCAATGCTGCTGGATAAGGGTTAAGCGTCGTCACTTTAGGTTAGATGGGTGTTTGCATAGCATTCGTGTACTGTCGTTGTACATTTCTTTGGTCGGAGGTGTGGTGAAGTTGGAGATGGCCTTCTGGTTTCTTTCGTCCAATACTCCAATGACGGTTTCTGCATTGCTTGGTAGAAGGCTGCGAGTCAAAAACATGTCCCTGAGTACATGTTACTTGTATATACTTGGCGAAATTCTACTCATGATACCTCTTCAATTGGTAGTGCGCCGATGACCAATGGTGGTGGTGGTAATGTTGATGATGAGGGGTATCACGTGCAATGGGTGTGGCTGAGTCTGACAGAGAGACGCTACAAGCCACAGTTACATCAAGTAGTGTAGAACCCAGCTTGCTGCTACTGTGGCTTAACATTTGTCGTCCGCGCGCGTCGCTGCGACAGCCGCCGCGGTACCTAACGAACCAAAAGCTCAATTCATTCAGTTGGAGTTCCATCATCGCCAACCCACCAAGAACAACGAACCATTCCCATCCCATCTTCATTTGACGCCGACGACAACGACCACCCCACATTGTGCCCGTCCATCACCACTTTGACTCTTGCCAAGATAATCTGAACTGGAGTAATCTTTCTTTTCTATCGCACAAACAACGACAGATCAATCAAGATGGGCAAAAAGAAGAGAGGACACCCCGACGTCGAGGAGCTCCTTGCTCGTCCATGGTGTTACTACTGTACGTACCACCTGCCTGAGCTATTTCTTTATGTATCTTGACTAATACGCTGCTTGGATCTGCCCAGGCGAACGTGATTTTGAGGATCTCAAGCTCCTGATCTCCCACCAGAAAGCCAAGCACTTCAAGTGCGACCGATGCGGCAAGCGACTGAACACGGCTGGCGGTCTCTCCGTCCACATGAACCAAGTGCACAAGGAATCGCTCGATAAGGTTGAGAACGCGCTGCCCAACCGTCAAGGGCTCGACATTGAGATCTTCGGCATGGAGGGTGTCCCCGACGACATTGTCCAGCAGCACAACCAGCGCATCATCACAAACTTTTACACAGCACAGGCCGAGCGCCATGCCGCCACGGGAAACCCCCCGCCGGGACAGGCTGGTGGCCAGGGACCCGCCAAGAAGATCAAGATCGAAACTCCCGAGGAGCTGAAGAAGAGGTTGGCGGACCACAGGGCAAAGGTCGCGGCGATAAAGGCGAATGGCGGCGTGCTACCGGTGCCTGTTGTTGCGCCGAAAGCCCAGCCTGCTTCTGTGTCGCCGGTTACTGGACAGAGTCCGGCGCAAGGCGTAAGTTCTCACCATTATGACTTCGCCGCTGTATTTACAGCAATAGACGAAGCTAACCTATCCCATTTGCGTCAACAGGCATCTCCTCTTCCTCCACCGCAACCAGGATTCCCGTACCCCCCACCCGTCGGCGTCCCTGGTACCTTCCCGCCCCCAGGACAACCAGGTGTCGTCGGCGCATATCCTCCCGTCTACCCCCCTCCCGGCGCGACACCCACACCCCCCGGTGCGCCTGGCGGCCCGGGCTTCAATCTTCCCGCCAGACCGACGGGCGGAGCCCTCCCGCAGAGACCCCCTTACTACAACAACTACAACGGTGGCGCCGTGCCGCCACCAGGTGCATACCCCGGCGGAGCCTCGACTGTCGATGAGCTGGTGTCTGGCGCGGCGAGGCAAGGAGGAGGAGCCCAGGGCGACGAGATCGATCAGCTTATCCGTGCTGCGGAGCAGGGAAGCAAGCCGCCTGCCAGGGCGGGAGAGGACTCTGCTGGTGGGGAGAAGAAGGGTAAGAGTAAGGATAAGAATATGCGCATGGTATATGGGGATAGCGAAGTCAGTCCGGAGGAGAAGATGGCGCTGCTGCCGAGATATGCGGTTTCTGCGGCGTAGGGCCTCTCCAGGAATAAACAGATGGATCTTGGCCCTCTCTCTATTGAGAAAAAAAGAAAGCGATGGGGCCATTGAGATGGTAGTTGAATCTACCCTCGGTGTTGGTATCACTGGTATGTCTTGTATTGTTCGAGGTGAACATGGCACACGGGGGGGATGGTGAATGGGCGTCAAAAGGATATTACTGTTCTGTTAAACACTAGGTATGTCGGTCTTATCGAGTTGTACTTTGTCATGTTTAGGGAGTTCGTGATCAAGGTGATGCCAATGGCAGGCAAGCCCATAATCGCGGATGCGTTCTCCCTTGCTTTTTTGGTTTACAGAGCCAACTTTGGCCCCTTTCACTCGATGACCCTGGGTAAGGCCATACGGGTGATTCTTTGGCGGTTGCAAGAAAAATAATACGGCCTGATCCTGCATTGAGTGTTTACGCTCAAAACAATAGCTGCTGACTGGAATGACATAGCTATTTACAAGCTCCGATCCCCCCCACAACAACAAAACCTCCAAACAACACAACAGCGTTGGGGCCCTTCATTCACATGAGACATACCATGCCGAAGGTCTGCGTGAACTGTGAAGCTACAGGGGGGTCGCGCGTTCTCGTTCGTTGGATTGTTTTGACCCCACATTCCCAAACTGGAAAACAAACAAACAACAACGAACGAACAATTCCCACACAACCTGACTGTCTGTGCCCGCAAGAATCAGAAAAAAATGTCAATTCAAGACGCGGCAGTGATGCGAGTTGACAGCATAATTGATTCCGGCTTGCCGTGAAATCTTTAAGAAGTCCCGAGTCCTCTTACAATGTCCTTGCCCATCAGTCCTGCATATGAAGGAATCTTGTCACTTTTTACAAGGAGAACTCTGAACCGATTCGCTCTCTGCCTCGCTGCCAACTGGCTGATAACATTGCTTTTTCTTCTCATACTGTCCATCCGTTTGCATTGTGTATCCTTCCACTTTATCCATATGGGATTATCCCTCCTATATCTTTCTATCTGTCTTCAGCGAGCTTTCTCAACAGACAAAATATGACAGACCACAACCAGGATATCGATGAACTGAACCTCCCCATAGCGCTGAGACGCACGCGCCGAACTGGGACTGGAACTGTGCGCCGCACTCCTGGTGTTTCCGGTGTAGGGCGGCGAAGTGCGATCAAGAGGAATCCCTCAGTCGCATGCACAAGAGAGGTATCACCACCTACCCCCCCGACTACACCACGGCGAGACTGGAAGAATAGGATAACAAAGACCGTCACCGTCCGGGGCAACAAAACACACTTGCAACTTTCTTCGGGCGCTGTCAATGGTTTGGTGGAAGACGAGCTCTCATCAACTGGGTTGACACCCATGGTCCGGCGCACATCGTTGCAACCCCCCTCCCCAGCGCCAGGCTCCTCAAAGTGCACATATAAGAATGACAACACAGCCACGCCATCTCCTCGACGGTCTGCTCTCACAAAGTTAGTATCAACACAGCAACCCAGCACCTCCAACCAAGCAGATCGTGGCACCGAAACTGCCTCTAGCCACATTCTCCCCCTTCGCCAGAGCCACCACAAGCGCCACACCATCCAGACCCACCGCAGCGCTTCTCTGAGCAGCACTTCAGGCGAGGAGAAGATGAACCGCGCCTACACCGAATGGCGCAAGAGGGAGAGGGAAGCGCAGGAGGAGATTGAAAGGCTCAGGGCTGAGTTGAAGGAGAAGAACGAGACGATTGAAAGGTTTCATCAGGACGACGAGACCGTGGAGTTGGAGCTCGACGGTGGGATGGTGGACGCTGAGAGGAACCCTGCGAGGTCACGGGAGTTGGAGATGGAGAGAGAGAAGGCGGAGAGGCAGACTGCTGTTCTTCAACAACAACAACAACAACCACATTCCCCAGAAACACCTAATAATCTGACCTTTCACACCGCGTTGTCAATGAGGCAGGGTGAAGATCTGAGGGGGAATGAAGGGGAAGATAGACAACAGCAGTACATGGCTTTGAATCACCATCACCGGCATCACGACCCCGGCTCAGGATCAGAAACGGAAGCTCTTAGCTTGACAACCTCGCAATTCAGCGAGGCTATTCGTGCCCGTCTGGATTGTAGCACACCACCTCCCTCGGGCAGTCGAGCACGTCATCATCGTCTACTTCCGACGACAACAACAGCAGCAACAGCGACAGCAGCAGGACCAAGACTCTTTCCTACCCCACCCACCACCGGCCCTATGACCATGGCTATGGCCACGGCTACCGCTAGGGCCATAATACCCATCAACAACTTAACCCCAGGCACGGAACTCCCTATAACACCATGCTCCAACTCCCGACATGGAGCAAGGTCGACATCAAGTTCTTCGAGACGAACATCGGAAGCCACCACCATTCACAATCTCCACCATAACCACAACGGCATGAACGAGGAGGAGGCCACACCAACCCGAGCATTAAACAGAGGAGGAGGCCCAGAAGAACAACAACTCCATTCCGAAAAAATCGCCACCCTCACCACCCAAAACACCACCCTGCAAGCCTCCCTCTCCCGCGCCCAAAGCTCTCTGCGCGTAGCTTTGCAACTAGTCAAGAAACTCGAAATCGAAAGCGATCGACTGCGCGGCGAGACGCTCTTACTCCAGCGGGAAAAGAGGGAGTTGTTGGAGGACGTCAGGGAGATGCGCTCAGACAGAGAAGTGGTAAGGGAAAGAGTCAGGAGCGCGCTGGAGAGAAGAGATGAAATGTGGAAGGGGCGGATGAAGATGCTGGGGGAGGGGATTGTGGAGGGAGTCAGGGGTGCTTTTGAGGAGGTTATTGAAGATGTGTTGATGGATTCGGGGGTGGAGGGGATGGATGAGATGCCAGGAAGAGAACCAGAGGGGCTGCCGACGGCGCGGATGTCGAGGGAGAAGAGAAAGAGAGGGAGGGAAGAGGAGGAGGAGGATGCTGATGAGGAGGAGGAGGAGGAGGAGGATCAGGTCCACGAGGACATGCAGGAGTGGGAAGGTGGAGATGGTGCAAGTTGTGATTTGGGAGCTGGGAACTCAGGTGCTGGTGGGAGTAGTGGTCGCGGTAGTTATGATGATGGGCTTGAGGATATAGAGCGCCGGAATATGAGGGTGAGGGAAAGGATGATGAGAAAGAGAAGGAGGAGGACCAGTGGTTTCGGTACGGAGGAGGAGGAGGATGCAGATCCTGACGCTTGAGACATTAAAGTTAATCATGTCTGGTGTCTGGCGAAATGGTGTTCCAGGGCATATATGGCGTTCGTTGTGGGCCTCATTGACAGGCGTTAGGCGTTAGTGTTTTGGGTCACTGTCCATGGTACACTATCATCTTTACGTGGGAACATGTGAGGAGGCCAGTCTTCACATAGAAGTTGACGCATTATTGTCTAATTCGAGCTCTACCCTTCCTTGCAATATTTGAGGCCTATATTTTCTCAATCGTCCCATGCGGACCTCCCCGCAATAACAACCTGATGCCAATTATATCAGCTGTGCCTGTGGAAAGTATGAGTTCAACCTTTACTCATCCCAAACCCAGAACTATCTTGCAAGAAACCCCCTGCGATGGAAACAGAGCGTTTGCCACCATTTCCCTTGAATGAACAAAACCCCTTAGGGGCCTGCTTGATCCTCATTCGCTTGTAGTCCCAATTCACCCCAGTGATTAAAAAGAAAAAGAACAACCCTCTACACACAAAGCCTACGAAGTCGGCTTTGACTTGCTCTTCTCGTTCTTGAAGACAGCCGTCTCATCCACCATGAGCAACATGCCGAACTCCAAATTATCTCTCCTCTCCTTGGTGAAGTTCTCAAGATTGTAACGCTGCTTGTGATGCTGTTTGAGAGTCCTGAACTGGGCCGTGTTGACTTGAGGTGGGGTTGGCAAAGGCCAGTCCGGCGACAGAGGAGTGTTTTGGTCTGCGCGTATTTGCAGAATCATCTCCGCAACCAAGAGGTAGACCTCTTCATGATGGTCCAGTTTGTGAGCTAGATGTGATAGTTTGCGCACATGCTCCACATAACGTCCCTCTCTGGAGTCCGGGGGACGGGCCATAGCCGCTTCGCGGACTGCGTTGACAAGTGGTGGTGATGGACCATGTGGCCAGATGTAATCCTTTGTCTTCCAGGTCGCGTGGAATACCGGTCCTATCTCGCAAGAAGGAAGGGGAACAGTGATGTAGCTCCTGGTGGTGGAGTAGAAAGTCTTGAGGCCAAATGTGTTTCGTGTAGCGGCAGGGACTGTAATTGTTGGTTAGGCGAGAGATACTCGTATGGCGAGCGGGAGTAAAAGCAAGGTGATGGAGAAATGAAGCACTCCATGAAGAGAGTTCATGAGGAGAGCAACTTACCAGAAAAGTAGCTGGCCGCGTAGTTGGTCACTGGTTTTTTATTTACCCTGTGGTGGAGAATGATATAGACCGCTTCAATGTCAGATAGCTGGTAAATAAATCCCAGCAGCTCCTCCGGACAGAATTTTTGCCCCGAATGTCTGCCATTGTGATGTTGCAAGCACTGAAATACACTCTCGCTCGACCCAGCGGAAGGTTGTTTGTTCCCACCATAAACAAAAGCGACCTTTCGGATGCCCCTCAAGTCTTTACGGACTTGCCTGGAGTCGATGTGACTGGCGAGAGGGTTCAAATCGACGAGTTGGTTCCGTGGGTGCCAAAGCCACAGCTTGCCCGATTTGTCGACACTAAATTCGAAGACCACGAGATCCGTGGCGGCGTCAATCTTCCGCCAGTCGTTGTTCGGGCGGACTGGAATAGGCAGAAGGAGTGGCTGAAGGGCACTTTTGAGGATCGCTTCAGCCGCGACAGGAGAATCGCGCGCAACATCCTGGATATTTTCCACAAGGTGGTAGCCAGAAGTGTCGCCTTTCTTCTTACTCCTGGATTTCAGGTCCAGCTTCCATGTGACCGGGTCAACCTCATGACGTGACGCATCAGCGAAGTGAATCTGAGGCTTCCGGAGCGCCTCGTGAAAGATCATGATTTGTATTTCCACGGGGAGCCTCCCGAAAAGCGGCCATGCCACTGCCTCAGGCTCGGCCTTTTTAGGACTCATGATGAGAGGATGCGCCGTTTTTGCTGCTTCAGTGTGGGCGAGACGAGGTACTGAAAGTTGTTTGTCGAGGAGAAAGAAGGTCGACAAGAAGAATTGGAGAAAGGTGGGGGGTTGATGATTTGGAGAGGACTTGCTCTGTAAGATGGCTACGAAGTCTGCCACTTGTTCAGTACAGAGCTGGAAAGAAGAGACTGAAGATCAAGTGGGGTGGCACGAACCGCCCCAACACCATTGCTTGTCTGACAATGTTCTGTTTAAGATCATCTTGATCGGGAAGCGAAAATTGAGTCAAGGTGAAAGCATGACTGGAGACTCCGGTGAAGGAACCCCACCGTCCACTTGGGATGAGACAGAAAGAGGAAAAGGGTGGTCATGTGCAAAGAGCCTTGGGGCGGTACCAGTATGCCTACTCCGTCCAGATCAGCCATCCAGCTTCTAACTGTCCCTGGTCGTAGCTCCTTCCTTGAACACCAATGACTTCCTTTTGCTATTGACGATATTTTCTTTTCTCGGATGTGGGGGAACTCCATGTACAGTATGTTGGTCCCTCCTGCTTGTAAAAGTAAATGGCATGCAGCAGGTGCAAGTAGCCATGCACATTGCTTCGCCGGCCCTAGGCAGACAATGACGACTTATGAGCAGGAAAAAAATCCAATAACAAAAACACTAAATCATTTGCCCTTGAAAACAGTACTTCAATCTGATACCAACAATAACAAGCACATGCGCCGCCGAAAATGACGAGTGTCCGTCCAGATACTGAAAATCTGTTGTGTCGCAATGGCTATCTCCAAAACCCTACTTGAACTCTGCATTTGGCGCGTTTTACCATCAACAGCCTACAGCAGGTCGCTAGGGACCTTGGCGCAGTTGGCTAGCGCGCAGGTCTCATATCTAACTATGATCCGGTGTAAATACCGGAGTAATCCTGAGGTCGGGAGTTCGAGCCTCCCAGGTCCCAAACTTTTTGTAAATTTTTCACCTTTATCCCCTTCGCTAGATTTCTGCCTGTTCCAACTTCCTAATATACACGTTTTTTGTTCTCATTTGGTCAATTTTTTCTTTCTCAGATCGTTTATATCGTTCTGCGGACTGTACCTCGAACGAATGCAGGAACTGCTGTGCAAGCAACGAATAAATAAATACTTCCTTCCGGCTTGAAAGTTGGCAATCGTAGTACAATTTCAAGCTGACAAGATATTCTTGTGGCTCGTCTCAAATATGACTATGCAACAAGCCCTCCTCGTTTCTGCCTCCCTAATCACGATATATCCGATCCCGTAAATTACTTGCACACACGTTAAACCATGGTCCACCATCACCAGGCTCATACCTCCCCACGGCCTACATCAGCTCCGCAACATTCCCTTTTGGAAGCCCCCCTTTCCCTCCAAGCTCCGAGACTCCATTTAGCGAGCTCTGATCCAGCAACTCAAACCTCGTCCCCAAATCCCTAACCTCATACACGCCCAGCGCCCCACTCGCATCGCCCACAATCAACCACTTTCCATCCGGACTAAACTCAAACACCGTAATCTTTTTGATAGCCTCAAACTGCCCAAAGCTCGCAAACCCGCTCACCTTTGCCGCATCCGGCCACTTCCAAACCTCCTCCGCCGTCGCCACGTCGAGGATGACAAATTTCTGCATCTCAGGATCGCAGTATGCCACGAGCCGGCAGTCTGGCGACACGCACGCTTGCACGTTGGGAATGGGAATCAGTCTGGTCGTGTTGGTAGGCATGTCCCATACTAGGACGAAGCGCTCGGGTGTGGGAACTCGCGTTTGTCTGAACTTGTCGCCGGGGAGCGGGATGTTGACGTGGCTGGCGGGGATCCAGATGGAGACGGTCACGCTGCCGTGGGAGACGAGGACGGAGGGAAGAGCCGTTTGTAGTTGCGTGTAAGCGGGCGCGCAGAAGCGGTAGGCTTTGTGTCGTTTCGGATCGCCAGACTCTTGGATGTGCGAATGAATGCTGTTAACGGGACTACGGGCCTGAAGTTTGGCTCCTTGGACAGGAGTAAGATGCCAGGCCACGAGGAGGATGGTTGAGTTGATGTCCCTGGGCGGGTCGCCAGGTCTGGGGCCTGCGGCAGCTATCAGGAAGGGTGAGTCGTTGGAGAAGGCTAGCTCGGGATACTTGGGAAGGAAAGGAAGATCAGCCTTTGTCAGATCAATGCAGCTGCTTGCATCTTCCCAGAAGGGCTTCTTAGCGCCCGGGTTACGTGATAGAAAGTATCGATCGATCCGGTCAGCCCCGGGCCGGTATATCACAAGGGGGGCGTAACTGTTGTCAAGTTTGTGGCTGGCAGCCCAACGGTGCGCTTCGTCGATAACCTGGACCTTCTTTCCAGATCCTCCCTTGGTGAAGTTGTAGATCTCGAGATCCAACCCAAAATGCGTAGTGATGCCTATAAAGCAAGGGGACGTGGGACCTTCGGATAAAATTGAATGGCTCCGGACGAAGTACTCTCTTGAACGAGGCTGCGCCGGCACGTACGATTTGATCTTAATAGTGCTATGAACCGTGTTCTTCGCAATCGCCCATATCTTAACTGTGTTGTTGGAATGCTTGGTTGCCAAATAAGAAGCTGTTGGTGAACAGTCGATATGGAAGACGTCGGAGCCTTTGTCCTTGTCGGTAAGATGTCGTACAGGTACAAGCTCGGCTCGGTGTGATTGCACAGTCGCTGTGCTGCTTGTATATGCAGGGACGTGATCTGTTGACTTGCCGTGGGACCATTGAGGTGGAGGACTGAGAGGAGTGGTGTTTGCTGGCCATTGTTGGCTTTGGGCCTGGGGCGTTGGTGACCAGCGAGAGTCGTGTATAGTAGCCGGGGATAATGTACTTGTACTTGCTGACAATGTGCCAGTCGACATTGTAGCTATAGATGGCGCGGCCGTTGATGGGAAGATCCCACTATCGTAACCGACGCGGTAGGTCCCTGACCCCAACGACCCGGATGATTGGAGGTTGGGGAAATAACCTCGCGAGCTTTCACCAGACGATATAGAGGCTCCAACAGATCCAGCTGTTGCACTGCGTAGCATTTGATGTGATGATTTGGGTGTGGATGTAAACCTATATTGTTCGGGATTTTGAACTGGCTGAGATTCGGACCATCGGTCAGCTCGCAAATCCTGGTGTGGTACATAGCTGGCTTCAAAAGGTTCGGATCTCGCGGATGGAGAACCTTGGTCCCAGCTTTGTTGGCTAGAAGGGGGCGACTGTGTTCTTTGTGAGAACTGTATGGATGTAGGTGACTCCGGTGTTGGGCCATGTCTCGAGGGATCCAGAGGCGTATTTCGAAGTCGTGGGGATACTTGCTGGGGTCCCCTCCTCGGACTTGAAGTAGTTGATGCAGGGTTCTCCCCGCCGCTATAGAAGGGAAGTGCTATGGCTCCGGTTGGGTACCATGGTCCCGCTGATTCGTAGACGCTACTTATGACATACTTTGGCGATGACTGTCTTCCTTCTTGGTGTGTTGGGGTGGTAGGAGGTTTCACCGGTTGCTGTGGCTCGAGATTTAAAGATCTAACGCCGTTCTGTACAGGATCGACGACGGATGTGGACGTTGAATCGTTGTTTCTCGGCTTTGTTAGCGGGCCTTTGCATGACATTGCAGAGGTTTCATGTTACTCACAGATCTTTGAGAGGGCTATCGTCTTTGATGACAGGGGAATCAGCACCCGTGGTTTCCAGACAGTTGATCACGGCATTCATGTATGGGTCGAGCCAAGTGTTCCTATTGTCGAGGCCTGTCAACGCAGTATGACTGCGTAACCGGTCTACTTCGGTCGTTATCTGACATTTGGAGGTTTTGGAGTCGCTGGTGTCGGAATTGGATGGTGACCTAGGTAACAAAAAAAAAAGGTCAGTTTCAAGAGCATCTTGGGTGAAGAAGAGTTCAAGGAACAAATCGAGGCAAAACTTACTGATGGTAATTCACAACATCAAGGACAAGTCCCAGCGCACGCCGATACGTCTCTATGTCCCCTCGAACCTCCGCCATTTTTGCCTTTCCTGAGGATACCCATTCATCTGCGCCACGACACTGCATTAGAGTGTCCTCTATCCGACTAAGCACATTACCGCAATCCTCCAGAAGCGACAGTACCTGCGCTTGCAATAAGAGAGGAATACTGTGTTCGTCACGCAGCAGCTCGAGCAAGAGGCGCATGTCGGAAAGCTCTCGGGTAACTGATGAAAGGTCCGCATGCGCGTTTCGAACGGATCGTATAAACCGTGTAATGGTTCCCAATGTTGTCGATATGCCGGCAAGGATATAATCGACAGGCCCGGCAGCGCTGGCCACCGGACGCCAGTGACCGGGCGGAGATACCTCCATGTTCTGGTAACGAGTCGAGCACCTAAATGAGAATCGACTGGTATTTGACCACTGCTGGTAGAGTTGAAACCGGCTGATCTTTTACTGTATTCGGGATATCGCCGAGTTGTTTGATGTTCCTAAATGCTGTATCGGATGAATGAAGTTCGGAATGTTCTCATAGAGAAATGTCTTGAAAACTGCAAACCGGGGATTGGGTCGTAGAGCATTCAGTCCCTGCCGAAAACCTATTGGAGAAGATCAACTTGTCAACTGGGCGATGGGTCTACTGGGGACAGTTCTTTTTTGGAGAGAAAGATGGAGAATGAGTTGCATAGACTCGATCGTGGAGCCAGAGCAGGGTTGGGGACAAAGACGTGGCTTGGCTTCGCAGGGCGGACAAAGAAGTTGGTAGGTAGTCTGTTGACTGGACTTGTGAAGCTGGCAGAGGTGAGGCGGGAGTGCTAGGTCCACGTGTTCACAATCGACAGTTGAACAGTGCCTAGACCGCGATGGACAAGAGACCAAGTGAAATTCCCAACCCCGAGGGCTTCATGATGCGTGTGGTTCTGGAAGGTCTTTGCGAGAATGGCGATCCGGCAGGTGGCGTTGCGGGCCAAGGCAAATGTCCACGTACCGGAGGCTATCGTTCTTTGTTTGCCATGCCTACCCATCGCATCTGGCTAACATCCCGCCGCCCCCTACCGTTATGAGATGGTGCTGACAGGCATCGAATGAACACTTTGTTCCTCTTGTGGGGTGGAGGATGCAAGCCCACGGCATCCTCTCTTGATGAGAAAATGGCAGACTGGCCAACCGGCGGTCTTCTTTTGCGCCATGAAGCCGGACAGATGATGGCGACGATACCTCCGCATTCTTGTGGGGAAAGCATGGCCTGCCTTTGTGTGCGTCGTGCTCAGTGCGGATATGCTTCTCAAAAAGGAAAACGACGAGTTTGTGTTGCGATTTGGATGAGTTTATCATCTCAAGACCATCGGAGGCCTGGTCGCAAAACATCGCGGAAGATCGCGCCAAAGATCACTAAGAGTCCACAAACTGATCGAGGAATCTGAGTAGAATTGAGTTGCAGTTCGGGACATGAGTTTTCACCTCCATGAGGAACATGGTCGAGGCAGGCATGAAGACAGAGCTTCTTGTGTGTCTGTATCACGTCGGTTCCTTCCGGTTATCGATGGGAAGTATCCTCAAGATGGTAATTTGAGGCAGTGGCGTACTTGGGCTCAACTTTTGATCCCCAATTTCATTAAAAACGGTCCGATGGTGTAGTTGGTTATCACGTCAGTCTAACACACTGAAGGTCCCCAGATCGAGCCTGGGTCGGATCAACTTAACTTACCTTTTTTTCTTTTTTCTTTTTTGGGTTCCATCGGCGAGCGGGGCCTCCGGTGCTGTTCCTCAGTTTCGGCTCCACGAGCCCGCGCATCACCTTTTGTTCTCATTGAAAAGCTGAACCAACAACTCAAAACCACAACGACAAACGACGATAGAATCGTGAGAACTGTGATGAGAGACAAAAGATAACATTCATGTGCACATCTTATGCTATCTACCTTGTCCAGAGGTCCACCACTCGTCACGGTCCATGCTCGCCAGGTCGCATATCCGTGATCATCAAATCGTGTCCATCTGATGGGCTGTCTCCCTCTTCTTTTCTTCCTTTCCAGTTGTTTTATCGTGGTTTTCGTCTCTTTTTCTCATCCGGCCTCTTGATGCCTCGTATAGGGGTGGCGCTCTTGCACGTCGTGCCTGAGCCAATGACTTCTCATTCGTACCAAGGCTCCGGAGGTGATGGTTGTTGTCGTGGCATACGGATTCATAAAATCCAAAAATGCCTCCTTTCCACAATGGCGGATGCCAGCCGTCCACAAACACTACAGGCCGGACAAGGGCAAAGGCGGTGCATGAGCAACGGCTGAACAATCTTGCGGCAAGGATTTTGCGTCGTGCAGCAGTGTCATGGCTGCATTACCACAAGGTTCGCTGGACAGCCAGCTATGTGGATGGCGCTGGATGTAGCCTCCCGAAGGAACACCAAACACAGCTTTCCCAACCACAACTGAACATCCATTCATCCCCGCTCCCGTCAACACCAACTGTCGAGATAAAGGCTTGTCTCATCCTCCCACTCCTCAAACATCCTCCAACCCTTCCTTTCGCTGTGCCATTCCTTCCCAGTTCGCTTCCTCCGGCAAAGAGCCAGTGCGTGACCATCCTACGACGTCACCACCAATTCTTGCTCGAGTGAGGACCAAGTCGCGTTCAAGCCGTTCCTGGCCACCCGTCTCCTCACGGTGCAGACAGCCGCCAGTCCTGCAAAGCGTCGACAAACCATCTATATGTCGATATCTCCTTCCGCCACTATGCATGTAGCACACTGCAGATTGCACTCAAAATCCATACCTCCCCCTCCCTTCCCCAAGTCATCCGAATATTTAAGAAAAAAAAAGAAAACGACAACCAGCGAGGCGCAACCTAAAAATGGTATCCTTTCCAAGCCATGATCAACTGCAGCCAGCTGACCCTGGCTGACCATCATGCCACGCGCCGCCCAAAAGCCGAACCCATAACGCCGTTTATGTGAGCCCACCATACCAGAACGAACAAAACACGACCCCTCCTCCGTTAACACGAAATATCTGTGAAACCGCCAGCCATGACAAAAAGCCCGTCCATCCGTCATGTATTGAGTTTTGCGTGCGCACCTTTTTGTGATCCATAGAGCCTGATCCGCCTGTAGAGCCAATGTTATTGAGTTGTGTGATCATCAACTGATGAGAATGTGAGAGCCAAAATGAGAAAATGATCTGCTCGCGTGTGTCTTGATCGAGAGGTGAAATTGGCTGGAAATCCGAGGAACGAGGAACTGTGTTGGGTATAAGGGATGGGAAGCGTTTCAATGGAGGAAAAAGAAATCTCGCAGCGCCTCGTGGAGTATAAAGCCGCTTCCGCCGTAAAGCCAACAAAGACGTATAAACCCCACACCACCCAAGACTCCGCGCCCATGCCGAAGCGTTGTAAGCCGTGAATGCGAACAGGATGAAGCTGGACCGTATCGAAAAATCCGTGAAATGGGGCAAACTCCAAAAGAGAATGTGTCGTAGTACAGTTCCGTCGATGTCGCTGAACTGTCTGCAGGGTCGGCAGTAAAGAGTGTGATAGACGAGTCTGCCGTAGCGTAAACGCAAACCTGACAGGCCGAGGGACGACACTTGTCGTCATGGTAGCCCATTCACAGTTCGAGAGGAACAGAAAGAGATGGCCGAGAAAAACGACTAATATGTACAATTCAAAGACAAAACAACGTGGAAGCGATGCATGGTCGCACACCTCCTCACATTACCACATATCCCCCTCCTTCCAAAACTTGTTGGGAGAGTTTACCCTACTGGGCAGACAGTGGACCCTGAGGCTGGCCCTGACCTTGGGTACGAGGACCGCGCTGACCACCGTAATTCTGGTTCTGACGGCCTCCCTGGCCCTGGAAACCACGTCCACGACCTCCACGGGGCCCACTGCTACCGGGCTGCCCGCGGTTGTTCTGGTAGTTGGTGGGCCTGGGTTGGTTGTTGGAAGCACCTGTGCCATTTTGGCGACCGTTTTGCCCTTGCCAATCACCCTGGGCCTGGGGGATGGGTCTGTGAGGCTGTTGAGCTTGGGGATTGAAGCCAAGTTGTTGGTTACCCTGTTGAGGCGGGAGCTGGTTCGACGGCTGTGTCTGTGTTGAGAAATGCTGTTGCTGTTGAGACTGTTGAGGCCGTTGCGACTGCTGCAGTTGCTGTTGCGGCTGCTGGGCAATAGGCTTGAAGGTCGAGATGGGCCGGGGAATCGATTCGGGGTTCTCGTACACGTAGAGGCTCTTGTCAATGGTCTGAGGAATGGGCTGGATCTCAGTACCAAGATCGCGCTCAATGTTGTAAAGGTTGAATCTGTCATCCCAATTGATCAAGTTAATAGCAAGACCAAGGTGACCATAACGACCAGAACGACCAATACGGTGGAGGTACGTCTCGGCGTTCTTGGGGAAATCGAAGTTGATGACGACGTTCACTGCCTGAATGTCAATACCACGGGTGAGGAGATCCGAGCAGACCAGGTTACGGCAAACACCGTTGCGGAAGTCGTGGAAGACACGGTTTCTCGCCTGCTGAGCCATTTTGGCATGACTATAGAAGCACGAGTATCCAAGCTCAGTGATCTTTTTGGCAAGCAGTTCGACGCGGTTGGTAGAGTTGCAGAAAATGATGGACTGGTTGATCTGAAGCTTGGAAAACAGAGTGTTCAGGCAGTGAACCTTTTGCTTCTCCTCAACAAAGGCATAGTATTGGGTGATACCGCGGAGGGTAAGCTCGTCCATGAGGTTGATCTCGTACGGGCTGGTCATGTTCTTGTCCGAGAAATCCTTGACCGAAAGAGGGAAAGTGGCGGAGAACAGCATGACCTGACGATCCTTGGGGTGGAACTGCAGAAGCTGCTCAATGACGGGGGTAAACTCTTGTGACAGGAGCTTATCAGCCTCGTCCATGATGAACATTGGGCACTCGCTGAGATCGGCCACCTGCTTGCCAGCTAAATCGAGGATACGACCTGGTGTTCCGACAACGATGTGGACTGGGTCCTGCAGACGCACAATGTCGTCCCGCAGGCCAGTTCCGCCGGTTGTCACCATGACGTTGATGCCGAGATGCTTGCCGAGCGTCTTGCAGACTTGGGATGTCTGCATGGCAAGCTCACGGGTGGGAACGAGAATAAGACATTGGATCTTGGAGACCTTGGGGTTGATCTTGTTGAGGGCGGGAATGACGAAAGCGGCGGTCTTGCCGGTGCCGTTCTTTGCGCGTGCGAGGATGTCTCGGCCGGTGAGGGCAACGGGGATCGCTTCCTCCTGAATTGGGGACGGTTTCTCGAAGCCAGCCTCGAAAATGCCCATCAAGAGATCCCTGTCGTGTATGAAGTCTTCCCAATCCAGACCCCTCGTGTTTGTAACATCCTCGGTCTGTTGTCTTGTGTCCCTGGCAGGTAGGTTAAGACCCTTTTTCCAGTCTTCCGGGCCTGAGCTATCAAAACCATGTCAGCTGGGTTTGGGACAGAAGGGAAGGCGGTCAACCTACCTCAGACTAGTAGCTTTCAACTGATCCGCTAGTTGGTCGGACATTTTGACAGATGGTCGTTGTTCGGTTGTGGAACCCGTGGTCGAGGCTCAGATGTTGCAGAAAGGAGAGCGTAGAGCGCGATGGCTTCGTCTCCGGGTATGTGTAGCGAAACGGACAGGTGGTTGGCAAGGGGAGAGGAGCACTAGTTGTGGGTGGGAATCCCCTCTTTCTCTTTTGTTTTTCGGTCTGTTGACGGTGAGCAGAGCCAGACAGGTGTAGCTTTGTAGGCGGAGGCGGAGGCCTGTCGCGAGCGGTCGTGGGGCAAAGATGAGACGGCGGTGGATGGGGATGGAGTCGCGAGGAGGCTCGTTGCGTGTGGGAGCACCAAGGACGTTCTCAGTCGTTTGATTTTGCTTGTATGCCTCGAAATCGAGCGACGTCTTTTGTGGAAGAGGCTGCGAGGAATCCGATTCGGGGTCGACGGCTGGGACTTGATTGGCCTGTGAAAAATGGAGGGCGAATCAAAGCGACGTATGCGATGCCGTTGGGAGAGTGGGACGAGATGGTGCTTTTCAGCGAGCTCAAAGTGTTTCTGTTCTGTTGTGATTGAAGTGTTGTCGTTGTGGTGGTGGTCGTCGTCTGAAAGCGGGGCAGAAAGGCAGAGAGTTTGAGGGAAACTTCCGAAGCTTGGACGAGGCGAGGCGGTGCGGAAGTCGTGAATGATTCAGTGCTGGGACTGGGCGAGTGAGTGCACGAAGGAGCCGGAGCGTCCAGGTCCCAGTCTCCTCTCCTCGTCAAAACTGTTCACTCCACTGCCGAAAGGGTCTCGGATCACGTGTTCCCTTGATGTTCCCTACTGAACCCTGCGCCTTCCAGTTGTGTGTATCGCACAATCAGCATCGTGTCCACCACGACGGGACCGACGGGACCTCCATTTCCATACCTGTGTACATGTCTCGTCTCATAATGGAAGGCGGCGGGCGCCACTCGCTCATGGGCCACACCTCGGCCGTGGCATCGCCTTCCAGTCCCACTCAGGGGCAATTCAGTTCGGTTTATATGACCGCTGCCTGTGATGATCAAGTTGACAAAAAGTTTGACAATTGAAATAGGTCCAGTTGGATCTTTTCCAGCACGGTCACAACAATGAGTGTGTGCATCATGCCCGTCTCTTCACTGCCGTCTTTTGTGCCCAGCGAGTGTCAAGTACGTACATAGGTACCTACAGAAAGGTAGTAGGTAATTGGTACATAGATATCTGCCCCACACTCAAAGGTGCTGCTGCAGGCAGGCAGTGTCAATGTCTGACACTGAGCTCCCAGCATATCCAGCAGCATATCGACATCATCCATTTCCCACCCTCCACCAAACACCGCACTTCTACACCATCTCCATCGACCATCTCCTCCCGACTTCCACTCCTCGACTGATGGGCACGCTTAATTATCGCGCCCGGAGCCATGATTCTCTATCAGCCCCAGTGAGCTCCAACATGACTACTTGAAACCGTCACCATGTTTTCCTTGAAATTTGCCGCCATCAGCTGCCCCGGCAATGCCGCCCGCGCGTCCCATGGCTCGCTCACGCTAGTCCGGGCAGCAGCAACACCATCAAGTCGGCCGTGTGGTCCTCTGGCCGTCGATCCCGTCTTCTTTGACCTTCGTCCGATCGCTCCGACCGCCCGGGGAGCTTTCCAAACACGCCGCCTCTTCGCTTCGGTCCATCACGGCGCAGCAGATGCGGAGCTGCCGACAGACCACCCCGCATTACATTGGCCCGCGTCCAAAAACCCTACACCTTATGAGATACTTGGGCAAAGCAAGAACGATCCTTATAACAAGAAGCGCTTCCACGAGCTGGTGAAGCTTTACCACCCGGACCGACACCCCCATACAGGGCTTCCCGACACTTCTCACCCAACCAGGCTTGAGCGCTACCGTCTCGTTGTTGCCGCCAACGATATTCTAAGCAATCCGCAAAAGCGCCGCATGTACGATCTCTACGATCTTGGTTGGAGCAACCATCCGGATCTGCCGGATCTGCGCAACGACGACGTCTCCTCAAATCACAGTGCTTGGCGCCGCCGCCCCGGTAATGCGAGCATGAACGCTACTTGGGAGGATTGGGAACAATGGCGTAACGAGCAAGACTCGGGAGGTACTGGCCAGCAGCAAAAACCCATCTTCGTATCCAACGGCGCCTTCGTCGCCATCGTTTCTTTCTTCATCATAATGGGCAGCTGGCAGCACGCCACGCAAGGTGTAAAGAGTGGCGTCGCTCTTGTGGACGACCAAGAGCACAAGCATGCCGCTATCAAAATGGAGATGCAGCAACGGTACGGTGAAACGGCCGGTCTGGGCCGAGAGGCACGAGTGGACAACTTTTTGAGGCAGCGAAACGGCTGGGACAATTATCCCACTCACCCGCACCACATATCCGGTTACTATCGCAATTTGCCGTCACAGGAACCTCCGCGTCGGTTACCACCCCCGGCGCCCAAACACGATGCGAATTAGGCCGCTACAATTTGGTCAAGCTATCACTGTCGTACCACGTCGATACATGCATGTCCGCCACCTTGTGAACATAGATCAGTCCCCTTGGATGCTGGGCAATGATGGACACTGCTCGCTGAGGTTGATCCAGAGAATCATCGGGGCTCGGATTGCTCTTCGGATGGAATGAAAGCCAGACCGCATGGAGCAAAAGCGTTGAGAGGCCCAAATAAATCCGGTTGAACAGACGAGGATGGAGATATACCTACCGTCTCTGAGCATAAGATGTATAAGCGTATCCAAAATACTGTGCTTCGTGCGCAGGGCAATGGCACGCACGCGGGACCGTTGGATGTTCAAGTCGTAGAACAACGTCAAGTCATTTTTTGTCCCTCGACGTATAAAGACCCAGCTCAAATAGCTGGAGCACAATTGAAGACAACGCATTTGGTTCAACCCATGTTGGAAAATTTGACGAAAGTCGAAGTTTTCATCCTCGCAGAAGTCACTGCGACGTAGGGCTTTTATAGGCGAGAAACTCCGATGGGAAGCGCATAGGCCATTCCCATCGACCCAGACGAGAATGTTCTGTGGGGCTTGGCGGCTGGTGAAGTCGCTTAAACAGAATCGGGGCATCCGATTTGAGATTCCAAGGATATCAGGCATAATCTGTAGGCATACTGCAACATTCATGTATGCCTGCCAGAGATTGTATGAAAGACGGTGATTTTCAATATCCCGAGTCTTTGCCTGGGCGGTACCGCACATCCCATTACGGTTGCCCTGCGACTCAGAGGTTCACGGGCTTTCGACAGCGGAGGGGAGGGCAGAAAGGTCCTGACGTCAACTCAAACACGGGCACGGACGGAATGGGTCAGATATCACGAATTGGCAGTCACATCATGATAGATACCGCAAGGAGACTAGGTGAAAAAAAGACAGAGCTTTCTTCCCACAGCATCTCGCGAGCGACATCTCCTGTTTGGAAATGGTACTGTGAACGAACTCTACTTACTTTCACTGCTCCAAGACCATTCCCAAGCACCTCTACCAGTAGTGCTCAACCGCAATGCCTTCGCGGGCAATTCAAAGAAAAGCCGAAGCACCCTGTCATGGAAAGCATGAAAAGCAAAAAAAAAATCGAGTGACTGGAGTGGGATTCGAACCCACGCATCTTTCGATACTAGAATACACCGCACTTAAGTGCAGAAGAACTTTGTTCTTGAGTCTAGCGCCTTAGACCGCTCGGCCATCCAGCCATTGCATTGAGAAACAGGGATGTAATAGTGAAATAAGTAAGCAACTATGATACCACGCACCACGCACCAACTGTATAGGGGTACCTGTACCGACTTGGGCGTGTTGTTTACTCTACCCCTGAAGATGACCAGCCAGATGAGATAACCGATATTTCGGACTTGAAGGTTGCTTTGTCGAGCGGTCATAAGAATAAACCAGACACCGACAGTCCAATGTCGCTCGTTGTGGTTGGAAAAGGCCATTACAAAACTGTGATATGGATTACGATCATTGAGAAACGCATCGGTCGGTCTCCATTGGGGCTTCTTCAATCCAGTAACTATCTTAAATCTGCGCTCAAAGCTACCACAAAAACGATGTGATGCGTGGGTACGGGAGGATTCTAGAGGTGTATCGTAGTGAATGTGACATGTTCGGTTCGTTCTTACGACCACTCGACGGAGTATACAAGTGTTCCAAGGGTGTTGCGGAGCTTGACATGCTCATGAACCTGGATCCTAACATAATATCTGCATCAACTATTCCTAGCTTGTCCTTTGGGTTCGTGCATATACTTCCGATTACCATTTTTCCCGACCAAACTCAACGCTCTTTCCATTTCTAGGTTACTATGTATTTACCTCTCCCAACCTAAACTACGGGCAGCTTCAAGATTCCCCCATGCGCATCAGCCAATTCACAGACTCACCGGGCAAACTTGACACGAACCACCCAGTCCCTCAAGAAGTCAAACACCCAGACGTGCCATAAACCCCTCCAACAACCCACATCACCGCATCCAAACCTCCCCACGAAAGCCACAGCACCGTCAGGGCCCCAGTCAAGCTCAAGAGGTCCATCGCCCACAAGGGATATCTCTCCTTGTCGATGACCCAAAATCCAATCCAAGTGAGCATGGCCGCGATACCCACGAGCAACTTGCCCAAGCCCAGCATCACGTTCCCTGCATAGACCTGATCAGCTCCGAGAAGCCCAGCAGGGCTCAAGGATAGGAGAGTGGCTGTTTGTTGTTGGGTGTGGCAATGAAGGGCTTGGTAGGCTTCTTGCAAGGAGATTGGGTTCCTGTCTTGAGGTTCAGGGGAGGGATCTGGTAGGAAAGAAACGCGTCCTCTTGTGGCACGAACGCCGGATAGGGAGAGAACAACAATCGTGACAACGTAAAAGGCAACAAAGAAGGGGTATGCTATGGTCCAGACTCGCCGGATGTAGACCGAATGGCGAGATGGCCGAGGCCGCCAAGGGTGGGCAACAAGTGGTCGAGTTTCCATGTTGTGTTCCTTTTGCAATTGGAAAGCGAAGATGAATATGCGGGCACTTGTGGGTGAAGGTCCTGATGTACTCAGGTGGCATGATTTGCTGAATTCTGAATTTAGTAAGGTAAAGCACCATTTATGGACGGACTGTACAGACATGGTGAGTTGGTATGTAGAGGTAGGTAGTACGGACACAGATGTGACTGTAACATGTGTTCGATGACACATCCTTTGCTTCTAAGGGTACCTATCTTGGGACGTACGTTGTTACTCACTCGAGGGCTCACTGCTTGGTGTGTACTGGTTTCCATCCAGGTAGGATGGAAAATGAAATGAATCATGTTCAAGTCGCATCCTTGCTTGATTGATGCCTGCTATGATAGGAAACTGGTAGATGGATACATCATTGACTGCGCATGAGTATCCCCTAACCATTACCGCCAAGATGCTTGATATACACGGTCTTAACCTTCGCCTCGGACCGTGACCATCACTCCAGGGTGTAGACCCTCGCTTTGACTTTACCCTCCCTTCCTACTTTCACCTTTACCCCCAGAGACCTCAAATCCCAACCGAAACTCCAACCCCATTTCATCTTCTCCCTTCTTCAAACAGGGCACTCCTTCAAATTGCCTAACAAATCACCTCACGAGATGCACAACCACCCAGATCCATACTCCCCCTTCGGTTAAAGTTCTCAGCCACTTCCCACCCGTACAGATTACTTGCTTCAACCCTCAAACTCCCGTCCATTCCGTTTACCCCTGAGACAATACCGGCCGCGATTACCGAAAACACCATGCTCAAACTTGCTGCAGCAGCCGCGCCAGTCTTAATCGCAAGTTGCCCGCGCACGTGTCCCTTTATGCTTTGGTGTGAAGTTGGGATCCTGCGAGAAATGCCATCGGCTGTCAGAGCTTGTTGGAAACATGTGATGGTGTTGGTTCATTCTTTCCTTGTTAGTCAACCGTTGGGAATGATTTTCATCCCCTGCGCCTTCGTCATCCACCGATCCGGGATAAGACGGGAATCGCAGTTGGTCCTTCTCGCACAACAACTGTTTTCCTTCCATCAAGTAGTGGTAGGCAAATAGCTCCCTTTAGCTACAACCAACAATGCCCAGATATCCGAATATTACCTCTACATAGGTAGGTATTTAATGGCTTGCATCGGCTCAAGCCGACAGACACTCATTCCCTTCCTAAAAGATAAAAGTCCAACAGGAATCCCTCCTTCCACTTCCTGCAAGCCGGATTCCACGAACTATTCTAATCCCCATCATCACCCACCGGACACTCAGGCGTCCCATAAATCCCCCCTACAACCCAAAACGTCAAATCCACCGCCCACCACCCCGCCAGCGCAATCAACCCTCTTATTAGCCACGAAAGAAGTGTTACTCCCCACACCTGAAATCCCCTTCCATGAAGCCAAAGCCCCAAGCATACGAGCCCGATGAAAATGATCACCTGGCTCTTCAGCACAGCTAAGATCCAATGATGCGCGTACCACTGGTCAGCAGCGACGAAACCGGCAAAGAGGGCGAGGAGGGTAGCCATTTGCTCTTGCTTGCGGCACGGTTCGGAAAGGGAGCAGGTGTCGCGGGTGTAATTTGAAAGGTGGGTACGTCTAGACATGTCGGATGCTGCAAGACGAGTGTCAGAGTTTGGTTCTGTTAGCCATTGTGTCTTCCTTGAAACAGTGCTTCAGAGAATAGGTTGCTAGGAGTGGAAGCAACGTCTTACTTGCTGAGATTTCCTCTTGTCGTGGGCGCTCGTGCACAATGAACAGCAGGATGGTGGCAGCTAGCGTGTAGTATAGGATGAAGAAGAGCAACACAAACTCTCCTAGCCGGGTGCGGAAGAAGTTTGGACGTGGTGGTTGCTGGTAGATGGAAGGAGAGGTATCCATTGCTGGCCTGGGAAGCGAGCAAAGATTCCGTGATATATGAGAGGTATGTCCGTCAAAGGTTGAAAGTTTTCTGCAAAGATATGCGCGGTATGGTTTGTCGAGGATAGGTATTGAAGGTCGACGTGTAAACTGTCCTTGTTCTCGGTTGTCGGGCAGGAGTCGTTTGGAGAGAAACACGTTCAAGTGAGAAAGGAAAGTCCATAACTCGGAGGGAACTCATAACAACAGAATGTACCCCCACACGAGCTGTCATTGTGAGATATGATGAGAATGATGATTCAGTGGCACATCAGCCGGCTGTTAGTCCCGATGGATAATCATTGACTTGTGTTTGCTTCTCATCGTTCACTGTTCTGTAAATGTAGTCTCCTGATGCAATTGTCAATGCTTCAACCAGCTGACCAGAAAATCATATATATGCCCAGAAGAAGACTTCATTCACTTTCTCGGTCCACGGCTTCGACTATGTTCATTCTTTCTTTTTAGTCAAGCTGTTCGTTTTCCGTTTGGGATGGTACTCTAGTTGTGCTGCAACGTACGTTTTTGATATTGTTGTATGTCGGATTCTGGACGTACGGCTTGTGTGAGAGGTCTTTACCTAGGCCATTCTCAAAGACTGGCCAGGACAGACTCGACACGCAGGATGTCCAGAGTTCCGACCATGCTGGAGCGTTGGCCCATCAGCATCCTAAGGTTGCGAATCGACGGTGACGACTGACGAGGGGTTTCTAATTGCTGTCAACCGCCGCCATACCGCTGGATCTCATTGCCATCGTGTTTCCACTACAACTGATGGCTTCGACAGGGACGTGTACACCCGATATCCCCTTTCCAGAAGGGGTGAAAGTAAGTTTTCAGACATGTTTACTTTCCACAACCGTTGGAGGACAGACTTCGATCGTTGGAAGACATGCAATTGCATTGCCTTCTATCGCAGCATGTTTGATCCAGATGCCATCCTTGTAGTCATAGATAGCTGCCGTGGCTAATACCAGCTCGGCGCCGAACTCTGAAATGGTGATGTCAGTGTTGATGGGTGAGAAATAGGCGGAATATCGGTGAATGCAGAGGAGCCTTTGTGGCATGCTCGTTGATGTGGGCGAGATACACCTCGGCGCCGGGCAGCACCCGGCAGTTCAGGTGCCTTGGGCGTATAGAGGTACCCCGCAAGGCCCGGTAACTATGCGTTTGCTGAAATGAACAATAAGATGACAAGTTTGTGTCTGTTTGAGGACATCATGACTGGAGAAACCCGGCGTGAATCGATGTTGCAAAAGACCGGGCCGCAGATCTCCGGAATGTCACAAGAGTCTGAGGGAAGAGATCTGAACGGTAAGAGTGGTGTAAATAAGATAGAATGGCATTTCGAATAATATAAAGCGGGTAGTTGACAAGATGAACATACAGTGGGCAGCTTCTTATCATATTCAGCAGGACCTCACCTTCCCTGCAATATATATGTAAATTGAAATGGTAGGAACTCGATTTGAAGTGCGCAATAAAAAGAGGGAAAAAGAGGAAAAAAGAGGAAAAAAAAAGGAAGAGAAGTGCGCCAGCCGCGAATCAAACGCGGGGCCCATCGATGGCAACGATGGATTTTACCACTAAACCACTGGCGCTTCTTATATCATGGGGCATCAAACCAGGTACCTATGATTACATCTCGCAAACTCGCCACGTCCCAACACAGTTCTCTAACAACGAATCTTGCCATCACATTACCTCCTTCCCGAACACCTACGCCCTCATCCACCAGCTCCTTGCACACCCCCTACGCAATCTAGTCCAAAGTCGTTATATTTGTGATTATGGGACTGACACCACTCGCGCTGTTGAATGAGATATTCTGGCAAACGACTGAAATGTTGAACTGGAGGGTTGCCAACCCTCCCTTTTTGCGGTATGCACATTCACTTACGAGTAGGATATTAGTGGCTGGGGAAGTTGATCACAACGTAGTATCTTCCTCTCGAGGTAGTTGGTCTCGGTGCGGTGGACCAATGCAGTGTCAAGTATCAGGCCATACAGTCAGCATTTTCCACCAACCAGTGACCGCATGGAAGAGCTATTGGCTCTGTTCCGAAAGCTAGTGAACCCTAAACCATCTAACCTACCTAGGTTGAGGGGTAGTTTAAAGACCGAGCTTTCCCCCAGACTCACCGGTTGGAGCAGGGTCGTACCGCGTTTCCTTTGTGGTTTTCGTAGATGCACTCCAATAGGTATCCCTATGATTTTCCTCTTGTATTGCATCAGTTCCTGCCTATCCAAGATGTACCATTCAGAGCACTGTCTGTTGCGTTGTATTCTGCCCCATTTTTTCCCCCATTTGCTTGTCGTTGTGGCCCCAGTCCATCACCTTTCTGTTCTCTGTTCTGCACCTCCAAGTCTATGTACCCTCTTCCCAAAAGACGCTTGCCTCACCAAAAGACCCCTTCAATCCACTTCCTCATCCGTCTAGTGGCGTTCCCATCCTCCTTCCGTTTGCCTTCCAATAGGATGAAATCATGCGCTTCGTCATACGCCTCCTCCAAAACCACGTCTATATCCGGATTCGTCCTCCTGATCCCCTCAGCGAACACAATACTTTGGTCCCTGAACACCTCCTGGGTACCCAAGGTGACATAAACCCTCTCAACAAACTTTCCCAGCCCCTTGTACCACGCGCCCGTATCCACATCCGCCGGCATAGCCCATCCCTGACCCCTCTTCTTCTCGGCGTTATACTTGTTGTGGTTACCAAAGAGCTCCTGAACCGCCTTCTCCATAATCACCGGCGACAGCATATCAATGAGCGCATTATCCGCCATGCTCTGATCATCCGTCCTGGCGCTAACCCAGGGACTGACAGCGAACACGCCAGCTATGCGCTCCTCTAGCGGGAGCGCAATCTTCCTGGCGTCCGCATGTGGATGCAGCAAGTGGCTCATGATCTGGGCCGCTAGATTAGCGCCGGCCGAGTCGCCGCCGATGACCAGATCGCGCGGCCGCACGCCCACCTTGAGCAGGTACGCCAGCGCGTCAGCCGCCTGGGAGAGTTGGACGGGATAGCGGGCCTCGGGGGCGAGGGTGTACTGCAGCACGGCGACGGCAACGTGTTGATCATGAAGCCGGCCGGCTTGGATGTAAGACCGCAGACACCACTCAAGGTGGCCATCCTGCATGGGCGCGATGAAGCCGCCGCCATGGAAGAAGAGGACGAACTTGGAGGCGCGGCGGCGGTCACCGACCCAGAGGATAGAAGACTCGCCGTCAGAAAGGATCTCTTCGTGGCGGTGGAGGTGGTCGAGGATGTACTGGTCATTGGGGGTGGCGTGACCGGAGTCGATGCGAGCCTGGGAAGCAGCGCAGGCGGAGGCAATCCATTCACGGTAGATGGTAGCGGTCGACGGACTCATGTGCTGGATCTCACGAGGGGAGAGACAGCCGAGGGCGAAGCGATTGTAGGCGACTCTGAAGTAGTGGCGGATGGGGACCCCGCGCAGGATGGCGAGACTGACGCAAGTGATGGCGTTGAGAAGCAAATGGGCGGTGTCTAGAGAGTGTATATGTCAGTGTTTTGCTTGCGCCAGTCGTCGGAGCATATGACAAAGGGAACCAAAGGTAAAAGGGTTTGTAAGAAGTGAATGTACCGATGGTGAGGAGATGAGCGACAAGGTAGAGTCTTTCCCACAGCCTCAAAGGGTTTTTGCGAAGCGCGCGAGCCTATTTGCCATGTTGAGGTGGGTGGTTCGTCAGCGATCCATGGCTTCTGTTGACTTTTTATTTCCCTTTTCGGACGATCCCTTGGAATGGCTTCATACAACCAAACTGCAACGTAAAGAAGCAGATACTCACCATGATGATCAAGACTTGAAGACTGCAGTTACCACGCAGTTTGGAACGGTTTGCACGGGCGAGGCAATGGTTTCAAACTGAATGGACAGAATCACAAGAGTTCGAAGAAGACCTTTCTTGACAAACAACGAACCCGTCCCGTGTCCAAGCCTCTCCCCAGCTCGGGTGGCATGGAGATTGGTCAGGTAGCCCGGCGCGGGTTAGGTGGCTGCCCCCCGCTGCCGGCTTTGCAGCTGCCGTTCGTTGATTTGGAGAGCTTGTTTGGTGGTGTGGAAGGTACCGGTGCATACATCGGCAGAGGGAGCTGAAGCAGGCCATTTTTAGTGTAGGCTGCATTCACGGCAGTGCCTGCAGGCCCCGCTGTTCGTAGATCTAGGTACCTAACGGGTTGATCCCGACGGCCCGATGGGCCCGCACTCAGTGGTCCATTCCTGTGGGGAACCCTGACTGAGCGGGAACGCCCAGGGCCATGGCCCGCACCAGTTGGTACCACCACTACCTTTCTGTCGCGGAGCTTGTTAGCTATTCGATCAGGACGAGCAGCAAGGTGTTATTATGAACCTCCTAATTCCACACCTTGTAAACCACTCACAGCCTAGGCTCAACAAGAGACGATAGCCCCTTGTATCTGATATGTTTCTCCTTGGTGCTTTGGCCCCGGAATGCGTCGCCATTCTTCACTTTTTTCGCTGCCGTCACTAACATCGTTGGTGGCTATGACATAGGGACACTAACACTAACACACAGCTTAGCATTGACAAATAGGGGAACACAATGCCAACCCCCATCAAACGCAAAGGTCTCACCATGGACGACGTACTTTGTTCGCCTGCCGATATCTGAGCCCATAATGCAAGTTGCGATGCTGATCTGACCTGCTTCCACAAATTTACAGTCTCTTCAGCTGGAGCTCAAGCATGTTCACCAGGTCAAGCGATGGAGGCTCAGTATGGCCGTTCCCAAGGTAGCTTCATCCAGACGCCATTGCTGAGAGGGTCTCACCCACAACAGAATAAATTTGTCCTGCCGTTATTACATGTCGGGACGGTGATCGAGGAGACTGTCAATGGTATGTGTAGCAGTTTTGGCCGCACTATCGATCTTCCGGGCATCATGCGATATCTCAGTTCACTGGTAAAATTTCAGGGCCGTGTAATGTCTGTTCAAGGCATCTGAAGGCTGATGTTGACGGACTCTTTTGTTGCAATTGCAGAGAGGAGCTCCCGAGTGGGTGCTGCGGATGGCTAGAGAGTTGACTGTGAGATCTCTGTAAACTTCAAAGAACGCCAGGTTGTTGATATCGAGACTGGAGGTTTAGGGCTACAGGCTCATGAAGCTTAAAATCAGTTAGCTACGTCACATTCATGATTGGGAGAGTGAGCTTCGAACGCAAGTATCATTTTTCGGGCGGGAGAGAATGGGAAATATCATTGCCCGTGCCACTAGTGTAGATGTTTTGCTGCGGTTTTACAGTGTGAGGTGGGTACCGCGGATTTACCACCAAAAGAAAAAGCAAAGTGCAATCGCTCAATTAGTACACTAGCGGCCGGGACAAGAGGATTCCGACACCATCGTGTTGGAGTTGATGACAGGATCGGCGTTTTCCCCTCCTCCAAGAATAAAGAACCGAGGCATGCGAAAGCGGGCCGGTGACACTGCAACGAAGGAATCCCGATGAGGGAATGCAATGACATGGATTGCGAGGGGTGCTCTGAAGCTTCCTGTTGGATCCTTCGGACTCCGACGTATGCGTTGTTACACGACAACGGTCATCACTCAGCACGATTTATCATTTATCATATTTCTTCCCCTTGTTCCTACGATCGCTTGCTACCCGGCGTGCGGAGAATTACTGTAATTATCATAGCCTTTTTGGTCCAAAGGCGCATGCACTTGCTGTGTTCCCAAGCACGGCAGACTCGTGGCTCGTCGTATAAACTTGGTCTTGTCTCCCGCGAGATAGCCACGTCGTCCATCTCCCGCTTGTTCTGTTTTCCTGTTGGAAGTTCTGTCCTGTCGTTCCAATAGAACCCTAAAGGTGTGAATGGGTGGGTAGGGTTTTGAAATCTCAACCATCCATCTTCTTTCTCCTCTTGAAACAATTCATTCCACTTAATCACAGATCCTTTCCTCCCTCCGTTGAGTGACGTCACCATCCGGACACAACCACAAGAATGGCATCCCACTCCTCAATCTCACCCGAAGACCCCGTCTTCTCCTACTCCCAATTCGCCTGCATCGGCAGCGGCTTCTCTGCCATCGCCCTCGGCGCCACCCTGCAGCGCTGGTACGGCATCACCGACATCCGCTTCTTCGAGAAGCAGTCCCAGCTCGGCGGCACCTGGCACATCAACCAGTACCCGGGCTGCGCATGCGACATACCCTCAGCGCTCTACTCGCTCTCGTTCGAGTGTAATCCCAACTGGACGCGCGTACTGCCCACCTACGCCGAGCTGTGGGAGTATATCAGCCGCGTGGCGCGCAAGTATGACTTGGTCGACAAGATGACGTTCGGCGCCGCGGTGGAGCGCTGCGTCTGGATCGAGGAGAGGGGAAGGTGGAGGATGTGGATCAGGCAGAAACAGACGGGCCAGGTGATTGTGCACGAGTGCCAGTTTTTATATGGTGCTGTTGGACTCTTTGATCAGCCGCGGGAGTTGGAGATCCCAGGGGCGGAAAGATTCCAAGGACCCATGTTTCACTCGGCGAGGTGGCGGCATGATGTCGATCTGACGGGGAAAAGGGTGGTGGTGTTCGGCAACGGATGCACGGGGTCGCAGATCGTGCCGGCCATCGTGGACAAAACAAAGAGCTTGACGCAGGTGGTGCGGTCCAAGCATTGGGTGTATCCGCCCATTGACGAGAAGGTGCCGTTCTGGCTAATGTTCACGTTGGCCAACGTCCCCGGCACGATGCAGCTCCAACGATTCCTAACGTTCATCAAGATGGAGGTGGAATTCATTGGATTTGGGGACGGGAAATTTGCCAAGGCGTTCCGGAAGAAGAGGCAGAGGAAGGTGGAAGCCTACATGCGGGCGATGGCACCGGAGAAGTATCATGACCTGTTGATCCCGGACTTTGAGGTCGGCTGTAAGAGGAGGATATTCGACTCTGGGTACCTGAAGAGCCTGCACAACGAGCATCTGAGGCTGACAGATGAGGCGGTGGAGGAGATTTTGCCGCATGGACTGAAAATGAAGAGCGGTGAGATCATCGAGGCCGATGTCATCGTCATGGCCAATGGCTTCAAGACAAACGAGTTCTTCCTCGACTGCGAGATTGTCGGTCGTGGGGGAGAGACCATCCATCAACATTGGAAGTCGTTTGGCGGCGCTGAGGCGTACAACTGTGAAAGTCTCAGCGGATTTCCCAACTTTTTCCTGCTGGGAGGTAAGTTGTCCCTTCTGGACTCTTGAAAATCTTGTTGGCAGTACCTACATACTGACATGTCCCCCCTCCAGGCCCAAACGTGGCAACAGGCCACACCTCGTTCCTCATCGCCGTCGAAAACGCCATCAACTACTCGCTGCGAATCATCGAGCCGCTTCTTAAAGGCAAGGGAAGCGTGGCCGAAGTGAAGCGCGAATCAGAAGAGAAGTACGTCCAAACGTTGCACCACACCCTACAGGACACCGTTTTCTCCACCGGATGCAGCAGCTGGTATAATCGTACCGTGGACGGCAAGAAACCGTGGAACGCTTCGGCCTACCCGTGGTCCCAAGCCCACCACTGGTACTCATGTTTGTTCCCGTCGTGGAAGGATTGGCGGCTTAGTGTGAGTCTTGTCTTGCTGTTGACGAACTGTTGAAAACACGGATGATTTGGCTGACAAATAACGACATGTATTGGATACCTATCCACAGGGCCAAACGGGAAAGAACAAGATCGTCAAACAAAGTCACACTCTGTCCCGATTGTTGACTCTCACGGCCTTTACTCTGGGGATGGTATTTTGGTCAAAGAGAAATCCTAACACGGTGCTGGCTTCGCTGCTTGCGCAACCTCGAACTATTTTTCCATGGCTAGCAGGAGCCGCGGTTCAGTCCGGCACTGAGGCCTTTGCAGTGATAAGGGGAGCTTGGAGGTAAAAGCGTAGGGAGAAACGAGTTTGGAGGAACTTGAAGTGACGAACTGCAGTGGAAGCCCAGCTCCACTTGGTTGTATGACAAGCACATCATTGATAGGCCATTGGATTTATATCGCATCTTGTACCATACGATAATCCCAAGAATGAGCTAGAGAGTTGGAAAGTTCTCCTCGCGGTGGAACATGACTTTCTGTCGGTCCGGTCAGTCACGCTATGAAATGATAAAACCGCAAAGAACAGTCCAAAAAGCACCTTCTCATGCGATCCCCGCTCTACCCTACGCACTGCCAAGTGGAAGCAACTCAATGCAGACAGATACCGATGGATCAGATGGACTGCATCAATCAACCGAACCTTTGCTCACCTATCAACGCACAGCTACTTTCTGTGCATGCTGAATTCGAACCTGCGCACCTCGACTTCCACATATCACATGCTACTTAGCCACCCTGTGTCACGACCCATCACGACCCATCACGTCGTACAATTTCCCATTACTTGAGGTTTTCATGCTTCTCCGCCATCTCCTTCATCGTATCAACCAAGTCCCTCGCCTCCTCATATCCCTCCGGTGACCGCTTGATGCCGTAGGAACGCATGAAGCCATGTGTTCCTCCCCAGGGTTTCATGTATTCGTAGTTGGATATAGAAGCACCACGCTCATTATTGCCATCATTATCATTACGGTTCTCGTCCTCTTGGCTGGAATTGGAGCTTCCGTTGTAGTTAGGGTGATCATCGTCGCCGCCTTCACTGTCACTGGATATGTAGCCTGGTGTTAGTGGCAGAAGGTGACGGAGGCTTGGTCTGGAAATGTGAAAGGGGTGTTACAGGGACGAGGACTGTAAGGATACCTAGAGGTACTTACCCTTCAGCATCTCTGTAGTTGTTATCGTTGGCCTCCTCGACATCCGCATATCCAGGTGTCTCCACTTCCACCTCGTCGACATACCCAGTCGTTCCTACGTCTTCTTCGCCGTAGCCGCCGCCGCCGCCGTCTCCGTCTCCGTCGTCAGAATAGTCATCAAACTAGCCATCATCGTAGCCTCCGTCGTCGGCATAGTCATCATCCCAGCCGTCGTCAGACATTGTGGCAAAGGGATGCGATCTCGATTATGACTTGGGGAGGTGGCTGAGATCTGGGCAGGAAGTTTTGATGGAAGAAGTTGTGGTTGATGAGGAGAAAGTAGGCGGGTAGAGTGAATGGGATGGACCAAGAATCCAAGTCTAAATACTGCTCCTCCACTCCTCATTTCGCACACATTGCACCTTCCCGGGCATTTGCATCTCTTGTATCCAACCGGGAAACATGAATTTCGCAACGAGGCAATCTCTGCAGAGAAAGTTCGACCGGTCAAAAAAGGACATTCCAACCGTTACGTCCTATCACTTCCTCCTCCCACTATCACCCTCCCTCTCCGCCGCCTCCCTCATCGTATCCACCATTTCGTTTGCCTCTTGATATCCCTCCGGCGTCCGTTCGATCCCGTAAGAGTCCATGAATTCTCCAGTTCCTCCCCAAGGCTTGGCATATTCGTAGTTGGACATCGAACCCGTACCGCGCTCCTGGTCCTCATCATCATTCTCTCTAGTTATGTGACATGGCGTTAGTGGCAGGAAAAGGACTTGACGGTTCCTTTGTGGGTGGCAAGATGGCACTGTTTTGTGCAAATGGAGGTGCAAAGGCAGCTGATGAATCATGATGCTCATGTAGTTAGTACTCACCCTTCCGCCTCAGAGCCATTGTCATCGTCGATTTCCTCCACGTCTTCGGTTTGATTGGCATCTTCGTCCTCTTCCTCAACAACCTCCTCTTCTTGGTCTCCATCGTCGTCATATTCATACGGATCGTCATCATATTCCACGTCGTCGCTAGTATAGTCGTCATCCCAGTCGTCGTCAGACATCGTGGGTGTAGTAAATCTGGTTTGGTAAAGTGATGCGAGGGCTGAGAGGTGAGGGATGTGCTCTCGGAGTTGATCTATCGTATGGCTGTATGTGAATAGCGATGATCGTATGGATGTAAATGGTTGTGATTGATGAAGAAGAAAACAAGTGATGGGACAATACAAGTATCTCAGATTTTGAGTCGGGATTGTTGAACCATTCCTACGGTACGGAAGAGGTGGTCACGTGTGACGACAAAGTGTTGGTAACAGCGCTATTTGTTTGTTTGAAGGAAGACAAACCGAGAATAAACGGATGATGAAGGCCCAGAGATATATAGAGGTATACCAGTCAGCTAAGTGGGGAATAATGGATCATGACGATTGATGTGCCAAGAAAGCCAAGAGATGGTGATGGCTTCAACTTGCTTACATGGATACCCCTCCTCGCTATACGCGTATTGTGCCTTCTCGGCGTCCCCAACCCGCCTACCGTAAGTTGGTTCATAGGATGAGCGACAAACATTATCGACGGCGGTATTGGGTAGGGCAAGTATTTCTAGGTAGGGACGTATCCCGTCCATCCTAATGCATACGCTGCGAGAACTTAAGCTAAGCCGAACTTCCTTGTACACATTCGCCAATGGCTAAGGTAAAATACAAACACAACGGCCAATGAAATCATCGACACCATCACTTTGATCTGCGAACCTAGAAAAGCCGGGTTTTCCGGGATAGGCACCAGCGAAATGCATATCTACAAATCCATCGTGTTGCTTGCCGTTCTCCTGTTCAAAGGCATCAACCAATTCGGCAAATCCACGCAATGTTGGAGTAGTAGTAGTTGGTGACAAGGGAATCCCAATGGTCGCTCTTCTTCCACCTCCTCCGCCTTCTTGACAGCATCCTCATTGCCAGCAAATAGGTTCCTGTCTTTTCCTTCTCTCTGGGAATGTTGTGGGTTAATGGCCACACGAAACGGTAATTGTGATGAGCCTCCCTCTCACGCCCTTATGCCCTTGATTACTGGCTGTATCCCAGGAACAAGGGCCACGCTCTATATGTATCATAGAAAGAAATAGCAGGTCGGGCGAGGAGATCGATGGCCTCTCATTCCACAAGAAAGATATATGGGACTGGAAGAACTTCCAGCTAGCCTCAAAGGCCGTGGTAGTTTGAACGCTGTGAGTCAATGTGTTGGTGCAGTCACCGCAGTAGATGCTCCACACTGATAAAGACCAATCCATCTGCCAATTCACCACATATGACACGGCACTCGTCTGCTGTGATGAAGTCAGTAAGGCCAGGGTACCGATATCCATCCCACTAGGAGCGCCTCACCGTCATTGGAGCGGAGGAACTCAACCACATCTTGATGACTGAAGGACCGGCTGGTACACCCTCGCCTGCTCTACCGCGTCTGTTGCAGTGGTGTATGCTTCCCTTGTGTGAATACCGTTCTCACATTTTACTTCGGCCTATCGCTGCCTGGGTACTTTCTTGACTTTTAGAGCCCATATATGCGGTAACGCTTGCCAGGTCGTACTTGATACGCTCTCCATTAATACGCTGGTCGGTATACGGTCTTTGCCAGCCGGAGCAGGCCGTGTATTGGATGTCGTGTTGACGGCACCCGCGATTTGCTCCTGATCGGCGAGCGTGTTAGCTAGGGTCGAGGGAGAGAAAAGCGGAAGAAAAACGAGTAGATGGAACGAGGGAGAAATAGCACCCTCTAGATGAAAGACAGCGATGAAAGACAAAGAAAGATGAGCCGGAAGAAGGGAGCGACCCGCACCTGGAGTCGGAGTGATGGAAGGAGGATGCAGTTGGGCGTTCGGGGAGCGATGCCCGTTCTGGTGGCTCAGAAACCAGTTCTGAGGACGAGGATGTGGAACTTGTTCCAGATTGAGACGAAGTCCCACCCTAAGTACCAACAAGCCCAACCTAAATACCAGGAGAAGGCCAATGAGTAGAATGGTGCTGGTGGGCGCAAATTTCCAAAAATAGCCGGACGAAGATTCGATCGTCAAGTGCCAGCCAGACCTTGACACGCTGACCACCGCAGAGACCGCGCATGCGGGAGTGAGAAACAAGCTCGGCATCGAGACCGAAGTTGGCGCAGTGAGACTCGATCTCCTTGCGAACAAGGGGACAGAATTAACCGGAAGCGAAGGCCTCCTTTATATCGATATCGGTAACCATCTTTTAGTAAGAAGCGAGAAGCTCGTTACGGGGCAACTAAGCGTTGTTAGCAGTTATTATAGGGACCCAACGCTCATTCTTCGTGCCAATATTCTTACCGAGGGCGAAAGAGCACTCGTACTCGTAGGAGTTCTTGAACTTTCTACGGCTGTGAATGCCAATGACACGACGGGCAGTGCCCTTGATCTTGAGACCTTGGTCATGGCCTCCTCATCGGCCTGCAATGCCAGCAAAAAACATGTTCTTACCTATCTTATCCTTTTGCCTGAGGAAGCAAAAGCCCCCGATGGAATGACGTACCGCTGGATGATTCCACTCATGTCTTCTTCCTTGGCCGGTGGTATGAACTCGTCCTCAAGGCTGGGATTCTACGGGTCTTGCCTGTCTGAAATCCGAAGTTGGGAGTTGACAAGGTTACTATCCATGCGTAGTCTCGGTGGTTCTCCCACGCGAGTAGGGCGGGTGGGCTGATCTGCTGGATACGGCAATGCTTTCTGTTGTAAGACTGTCAGACGAAGGCACGAGAGCAAATGTGATTGGGCACCGACACCCAGAGGAAGAATTTACCTCTTCCATTGTTGCAGGCAGGTAAGGAGCCTGAAAGCCTTGCACGAAGACAAGTGTAAGGAAGCTCCTTTAAAATGAGGGTGACATAATAATTGGATAGGTTGTGCCATATAATTGAAGCCGCCATAGAGACCACCTTGTGGGTAGGGTCGTTTTGAAAATGCAGAACAATGACGCGGCAAAGATCAGGGTCCTCTGTCTCGTGACAGCGGATGGTATCGCGTATAAGGGAATGTCGCCTTGTGTCTGAAAATCAATGTGTTAGCCATTGAACTGGAGGCAATGGAATTGAAGACGTACTCTGCCTCATTTTGATATATCCCCAAAAGAAATGATGGCTCCATAGCCATCAAGGGGATCAGTTAAAGAACAGTCATGGATATTTTCATCCGGATCCGATGCTCTGGGAAGTGGCCGGTGGGTCAAGTTGGATGAGAACTGGTCGAGTAGTCGAAAGGAAGAGGTCGGGTGTATTTCGAGGATTCGAGGAAGAATCCCGTGGATCATGGAGACGGTGGGGCAGAGGTCGATCACCAAAGTCTGACCATCTATCTTGTTGCTAAGGCGTGGCCGACTGTCGAATTAGGTATGGACTGTGGAGTGGTCCAATCCTCTTTGCTATGCGAGAAACGCAGTGTTTGTTGTGAAAGAGGAGAAAAACAATCGCTAGTGAAATAAACTGAACCGGAGCAAAATATGAAAATACCAGGTAGATGATGGCAGATATCAAAGATGATGGCTAAATGGACTGATGGAGAGAAAAGTCAAAGAACCATTCTGCAATTCTGCAAAGGGGAATCAGTCCTTTATACCTCAGTCCAGAAGGGCTGGTCTCCCACGAAGCCTCCCATCTCAGGGGTCCTTATATCGCCCCTGCCACTGTACGGACTTCGTGGTTACCGGAGGACCGCAGTTTGGCTGAAATACTACAGCTTCTTTCAGGGCATAAGCATCGACGATCCAAAATATGCCGAGTGATTTGCAAACCGAAAGGAGGCGCTACCGGTGCCGATATATGCTTTCCATGTTGCGTTACGGTTACTTGAAGGCAACTACGAGCAGTTCGGTCAGTGGCGCAAACCGTCCAGGTTGGTAAATCACAACCCAGGGCTCAAACAAGTGCAACAGTAAAAGTTCAACTGGCTTGAAATGTAATGTGTTGATGCTTCCCTCCACCTCCAAGTCCGCCTATCACTTTGTTGCTCAGTTGGTAGGGTAATGTTGAAGCATATCGCTTCTATCAGCCTTATCGAAGGCTATTAAGGGTATTCGATCCACTCTAGTCATATATATAAACTTGTAAACCTTACATTCACTCCTTTCTTCTTTCTTCTTTCAATTAAGTTATCTTACCACTAAATATCTTTATTCTATCCTTCTACTTTAATAAGTTATAAGCCCGGGCTGCGCGCGTTTACTACCGCGAATAAGCTAAGTCTCTTCCTATTCTTACCTTCTTTAATATGCCTGAATTTGTTATTTCGTAATATTTAGAAACGCTGCGCTATAGTTAAACGGTCTAAACTCTTTGAAAATTTCCTTATTTCGATAAGTATATAAACTATAGAGTACTTAATACGTAAATATTAAAATAAGGGTTCGTACTAAAGCAACTATTTGTCCGTTTAATTATAGGATTATTCTATTATATTGAGCCCGCGGAGATTTTGCCTAAAAATACTAAAACCTATATCCGATATTACTAAAATTGCACTTTAAATATAAAATTAAAGATAATAATTCGTTAGATCTATTAAAACTATTATAAAACAATTAAAAATTATTTATTTAATTAAATTTTGATTAAAATATTTATTATAATCGTTCGACCGGAAGTATATTAGACGTTACTTACCCTATAGCTCGATAAATCGATTTAATTCGAATAATATTATTATAGCAAAAGCGAACCAAAACTATTTTAAATTTCTATTTTAATAAAAGTATTCGCTTAATCTACCTTCTACTTTCGATTTATAAAATCTATTTTTACAATACCGAAGTGTATAAGTCCTCTAATTATTATTTATCCGGGTATAATATTATTAGATAGGCGTAGTTTTTATAATAATAAGACCCGGTAGATTTCAGTATTATAATACTCGTATTAATATAATTTCCAACTTCGGCTATTCTAATTTACTACGGCTATTAAATACTTAAACCGCCGCAGTTTCTCTTATTTTATATACGAAATTCTTTTTCTATACGCTATAAGAATATTTAGCAATTCTAACCCCAATACACCCTATATTCTTATTATTATTACTTTTTTATCCTCCGTTTCTTCTCCATTTATATTATTTATACTTCCTTTACTACCGAGCTTTATTAATATTCAGGGTTTTAGAATTATTATTCTTCTAAAATACTTACGTTTTAGTATTTAGAAAACCCGAATATTTAATTTATAGATTTTACGTATTAAGGATTTTATAAATAGTCTTTAGAATTCTAACCCCTCCGAGTCCTAGAATTCTAATAATTTTGAGAATAATTTGTTAAATTTTAGAGTTTTAATAAATCCTAGCGGATTATCCTCCGATACTCCTTAAGCATTTTTTAATTTATAAGGTTAATTTCCTATTCCTAAATTAGTTTCTTAATTTAATAATATTTAGTATTAATAATTTTTTCATTAAAGCTAATAGTATTCCTAAATTCAATAATAATAATAATTAAGTACGTTGGAAAAAGGATATTTCGGATTATATCTGAATAGTTGGAGAAGGAAACCTTTTAGAAACTTCTATTAAACTGAAGTAAGAAAAGGATAAGGACAATAAAGTATATAGGGATTAGATATAAATATAATATAAACTCCAATTTAAATATATTATTTTTATTATTTATTATCACTATTTTATAGGCTATAAATAGATTAAAGACTTTAAAAATCTATTTAAGAAATTTAAAACTATTAAATAAGCTTTTAATATTCTTTAGAAATACTTTTATCCTAAGAGGTCTATTAATTTTATTTGTTTTCATTATAAATTTTAGAAGTTAATTTTAGTAGATAATATTAATATTTATATTTATACGGATTAATTATAATAATTATTAAACAATTTACGTATATTGAATAAAACTTGTAAAATATTAGTACCTTTATTAAATTATAAATTTTTCTAAGGTTTTAGTGAAAAATATAGTTTCTTCGTCTAAATTTGCTTCTAAAATTATAGTTTATTCCCTATCCGCGGAATTAATAATAGTATTATTATTTTAGCGGTTACTTTCGACGATATAATTAAAGCCGTTACCTATATTAAAGAATAGTTATATTCTAATTAAGAGGAAAAGGTACTATACATAGTTAAAATTAGTACAGTTAAAACTATTAAGAAAAAGAAAATTAAAATTTTCTCCTAAGCTTCTTACTTAGTATATTGGGTCCCGTTCGATAGTAATAAGTAATATTATAAATAGTATCCTAAATTCAATTAGAAGATTAAAAAATATATATTATGAATATTATTTACTAAGGCTACCCCCGGTTCGTACTATATTAATAATAAATATAAGGGTTCTAATTATTTTAATATTATTAGGAAGTTATTTATAGTAATATTTGGGTATTATAAAGTATAAAAATTTCAAAATAATACCAATGAAGAACCCCTATAAAAGTATTAGTATTAGGATTAGAAAGTTCTTTATTTAATAATTCTTAATTAGCCCGGATATACTAATACTATTTTTTCTTTTATAGAATTGTTAAATATAATAGTTTCAAAATACTCTACTGTCGTCCTTCTAATTTAATTTAAACTAAGTAATTTAGTTATTATATTAGTTATAGAATATAGATTTAGTATCTTCCTTAATAACCTTCGGTATTTATTCGCTTTAAATATAAGCGTTATAATATATATTAATAAGGGATTTATATTATTATACTCCTATAATAGCCCTCTTATTCTTAGTATTAGGAATATTATAATTATTCTCTATAGTATTAGTACTTTTAAAGTCCCTATTACTATTAATAGTAAGTTTAGTTTTTTATTTTTAGAAAATATTTATTATATATTTAAAACTACCTATAATTTTGTTTTAATTTCGGCTTTATAGTATAAAAGCTTTAATTTTACTATTTTGGCGGAAGGTTGGTTCTATAATATATTCCATAATAAAATTAAATTTATTAGGACAGAGTTTAATAATTTCTATTATTTCAATTAAATTATATTTATTATTCCTTAGGGCGTTTAGTACGCCCTTACTACCTATTATATATTAAATAAATATTTATAAATATAGTATAACTAATTAATTTATTTACATAAATATAATATTAAAGAGCTTTAGAAAAAACTTACTGGTATAATACTAGTTTCAATTATTTATATATATAAAAATTGTATAGTAAGCTGTTTAAAGTAAGTACCTTACACAGGAAAGATTCGCTACGGAATAAAGCTTTTAGAATATATTTATTTTAATATTAGTAGCCCGTTTTAATATAAAGGCATTTATAGTAAGCGCTACTAATTATCTATTATAAACGATTTTACTTAATATTATTAGGTTTTCCTATTAGTCTACAAATCCGACTTCTTTAACGCTTTTAGGACTTAGGCCGAAGGAGTAGAATAGTCTGAACGTTAAATTTATTATATTTATTTGGATTGAGTAGGAGAGAATTCTAATAATTATTTTCGCTAATAGTATTAGGATTATAGTATTGTATTATATTATATTACAATTGAGTAATACTAATAGAATAGTATTATAAAATGTTTAAATAGAATTCTATTAAAATAAATTACTATCCTCCTACTATAAATAGGGCTATTATTAAAATATTAGCCCTATTTGCTCCAATCCATTAATTATATTAGAAACCGATACCCTAATTTAATTATTAGTAAAATATTATATAAGGTCTAATTTGGGGATTAGTCCGATTTAATATATTTATATATTTTTAGTTCTCATAACTTTTATTATATTTTAAATTATAAGTATTATAGTAAAATATTACCCCTAGGTACCTATTATAAGTTTTTTAACTATAATAGTTCGTATAACTATATTATACTTACTAATTCCAATAAAATCTTTATTATTAATAATATTATTTTTAATAAATAATTTATATATATTATCGATATGCGTACCGCCTACGGCCGCCCTAAAAATTAAAATTAATCGCCGGTAGAATTTTCTGGTTATAATTTAGGAGGAGTTGTCTTTATTATATTATAGTTAGGAGGAGAATTTAAGGAGCCTATACTACATTTAGAAATTCCCTATACCCTCCGTATATTGAAATTATAAAGGTAGGATATACTTAATATAGAATTATTACCGGCCGCTATATTCCTAACCGTACTACCAACCGCTATACTAAACTTATTATTACTATTATTAGTCCTATTGTTTTTATTAATACTAAATACTATTATAATTAGAAGCGCCCTTTATTTAACTAATTAAAGCTATATTTAGACTATTAATATTAAATACCCTGAATTGTATTTAAATATATATATTACTATACAATTTAAGGAAATTACTTTTAAAGTTACTATATTAGAATTATATATCGCTTTTACAATTATAGTTATTATTATAGACGAGGACGAAGCCCTGTTTAAATTTAAAATTTTTCGGTAAATTAAAAAAGATATTTGTATTATCAAATAGTATATTATAATAGGTAATAAATATAAATCGTTCGTAGATAATCGGACTTAGGTATTAATATTAAAGCTATTAGGCCGGAGGGTGCTCTTAGGAAAATAGGTATATAAAGTTAAAATAGGTTTTAATAGTAAAATTTTATATTATAAAGTACGTTGGATAGTAAGAGGATTCGAATAATAAGAAGGTATTGATTATAATAAAACGTTCGCTATAGTTATTAAATCTATAAAATATAAGCTTATTTGTACGATTACCGCTACTTTAAATTTAGAATATAAATAAATAGATATATATACTACCTTTTAATATAATATACTTATTAAAGAGATTTATATTGAATAATCCCCCGGCTTTATTAAAGATTTAAATAAAGTTTATTATTTAAATAAAGCGCTATATAGTTTGAAGTAATTACTATAAATTTGGTATTAAATACTTTCCTCTTTTTTATAGGAATAGGGCTTTACTCTATTTACGGCCGACGATAGCGTTTTTGTAAAAGAATATACTTATATTACTATTTATATAAATAATTTATTGATTATTAGATTTTTTTTAAAAAAAGATCCGAAATTTAAAAAGCGTATTAAATAAACGATTCAAAATATTAGATTTGGGCTTATATTTATTTTATTTTGGTATAGTAGTTACTAGGGACCGTCGGTACTATACTAATTTTTTGAGTTAATAGGCATATATTAAAAAGATTATTCGTACTTTTGGTTATTGGAACGTAAAATTTATAATTATACTTATAGAAATTAATAAAATTCTAAAACCTCTAAAAGGTTTTAAATTTAATCCGAAGGATAAATTATAATATATTAGTACAATCGGTTTATTTATATACACTATATTAAGTACTAGATTAAATATTACTTTCGCTATATTATTCTGTAGTAAATATATATTACAACCTTCAAAAATATATATTACTACTATGAAACGTATTTTTAAGTACCTACGGAGTACTATTAATTTCCAATTAACTTTTTTAGGACTTATTAAAGACCTTTTAAGCTTTACGGACGTAAATTGGGTAGGAAATATTTAGAAGTACCAATTTACTTTAAAATACGTTTTTAATATCAGTAATAGCGTTATTAATTAGAATTTAAAGAAATAAGCGATTATAGTACTTTTATTTTACGAAGTAGAATTTATTAAATAAATTTAGGTTATAAAAAAAGTTATATAGTTATAAAAGTTATTAAAGGAATTTAATATAATAAATTCGCCTATTACAATAATTATTTATAAAAAATAATTAGGGAGCTCTCATTCTTACGAAAAACCCTTAATTTTATATTAGAATTAAATATATTAATACCTAAGAATTCTTTTATAGAGAGAAGTGGGCTGCTAGAAAGGTTAATTTTAAATATATTTCTACGAAGGAGTAAATAGCTGACGGTTTGATTAAATTATTACCCTATAATATTTTTATTAAGTTTAGAAATATATTAGGACTATAGTAAAACGTTATAGACTCTTAATACCTAATAGTAGAATATATATACTTAAGGGTTTTTATTAATAGTTCTCTCTATATATTTACCGACCCTTACCCTAAGGTACTTATACCCTAATAATTTAAATTGCAATTTTCCAAATAACTTTTATTTTTTTCACATTTTTCTATTTTTTTTTTACCTATTTTTTACTTTTCTACCTTATTCTCAGTATTACTAGAATTAGTTTATTGAGATCTTTTGAATAGAAGTATTAGGGCCAACGTACAATGGTAGGGCGAGGAATTATAGTATTATTTTTGAAAGGTGTTGGTTGTAGAGACTTTTTTCCCACTGGGTTTTTTACTGGCCTGTAAGATTCCAGCACCAAGGCACTTGAAAAGGAAGGAAGCGATTCCTAGATTGGATCGAGGGGGAGTATTGAAGTATATCGCTTCTATTAGCCTTATCGAAGGCTATTAAGGGTATCCGATCCACTCTAGTCATGTATATAAACTCGTGAACCTTACGTTCACTCCTTTCTTCTTTCTTCCTTCAATCAAGTCATTTTACTACCAAATTTCTTCGTTCCATCCTTCCACTTCAACAGGTAAGACGTGTCCTGCCGTTGATCTTACCACCACCCATGGTGTCTCGGGTAGTAGTTTGTAGCCTCGTTTCTTGCTGCAGCGGGATGGACCCGCGGAGAATTCGCCGTGGCCAAAGCTGAGTGATAGCTGCTGCCATATCCTTGAGCTTCTCAGTCTCTCAGTGCGTTCATGATAGTCCGCGACTCTTCATATCCACTGGGTTCAGGTTTCAAGCCATAGGAAGCCATAAAGTTGTGCCTTCCGCTCCACGCTCGCAAGTATTCAAAGTCCGATCTGTGCCTTCCCCCGTGCCCATCGCGGTGGGATGTAGCTGAAGGTGAATAGTGGGTCTGGTGGCTGGGTTGGGTTTTGAGCCTGTGAATCGTCGACAACTGTTAGAGTGGTGTGGCTCCTTCTAAGCAAGCACTCCTGGCAACTAAGAAATTGGCAAGTTCTGATGTGTGAGTTCAACCTACCTATAAGCCGGTTTCGTCACAGAATCGTAATATTCGGCACTGTAATGTTGTTGATATTGTTCTCCGTGCTTCCATCTGCCAGAACCATGGTGGTTGCCATTGTATTGATAGCCGCTGCTTCTTGATGAAGGGTGTTGGCTGTAGGACCCGCCGTGGCTTTGGGGATCAACCATCATACCATTCGCTGCAAATGGTGGGTAGCCTGCGGAGCCACGAGGAGCAGAGGGAGTGTATTGCGATTGGGAGCGCGATGTAGGATAATCATCGTGGTCTTGAACATAGCTGGGACCACCAGAAACCACTCCATAGTAAGGGACTTGATCGTCATCATTTTCATAGCCATCATCCGAATGAGCGAGCTCAGCATAACCGGTGTGTTCCTCATGGACACTGCCATCGAAAGCGCTGCCCTGATCATGGTGATCTTCCACCTCTTCAATAACGGCAAAACCCGCCGTCAACTCCTCCGCCACTGCATCCCCGCCAGCATCATGGTCGTCATGATCATGGGCTCCATGATGGTCATGTTCATCGTGATCGTAGTCGCCATAATCGTACCCTGCGTCGTCATATTCGCCATCGTAGTCATCATAGTCTTCATAGTCGTCGTAGTCGTCGTAATCGTAGTCATCGTCGTAGTCAGACATGTTGGAAAATCAGGAACGGAAAGTTGTGCGGGAGAATGGGATTGGGCAAATGGAATGGGAAGGATCACCTGCAGTAAGTGGAAGGAGTGGGACAAAGGCCGAAGGACTGAAATCCGGACGTCGATTCCATTGTAAAAGTAAAAGATTATGTTGATGGAAAAAAAAGTACTTGACCCCCCACGAACAGCCACTCAGCCGGAGAGGGGAAAGGCACATGCAAACGCGGAGAGGGGAAGTGCCCGTTGATCCATGAAGGATGGAAAGTGGATCATCACCGGGCCTCCTGCAGCAGAAACTGGGACCATGTCAACTGGACGGCGCGATAAGCCCACTGTAGCTTCAGCGCTAATCGCGATGCCCTTGTCCTTCCTGGCTGTTCCCTTGGGTTCAGAATTTCCACTTCACTCAAGGAATGATAAGAGAATATCCAGATGCAGTTGGAATAACTACACAAGATCAACTTGAAATAATACAAGTTAGAACGCTACTGAACGTTGGGCATAATGCCGAATGAGCGAGTGTTCTCGGGGACTCCATAATATTGCCCGTTTGACCATACCTCTAAACGCTACATGGGGCCAGGTGCATGTTATCTTAGCACTCTCAGCGCTGGACATTTCTTCCCTTCGAGCTAAACAGTCAAGACTCCCGGTCCCGATGACCTTCAGCCCAACATTCAATATCAAATCCGATTGTTCCGAAAGTGTTCACCGGCCCCTCCAAAGACTAGTCTAAACATTAACCCTGACGCCAGCTGGGGCAATTCTTCATCCCCAGGGCTCCATTCGCATTGAGGGCGCGCAAAAGGGGCTCCTTGGGCACAGAGTATGAGACTCAGCCTGCCAGCCTGGTAGACAGTATCGGTCCTGGTGGGATTCATCATGAAAACGTTTCTGAAAGAGGAAGTCCTCACCACTCATCAAAATAAACGAAGTAAGTTGGATTGGGGTTGCTGCTTGATACCTCCTGCGTATGTTCTGAAGCAACCATGGATAGATTGACCCCTTCCAATCGACTTCCCAGCGTGAAAAAGTTCCAAGTCTCCATGCCCCTGTCCGATCTTCTTAACCTCTCGTTCGACCCGGCTGTGCTGGCCTCGCGCAGAGGATAAGAGGTTGGAGGATATATGGGGCTAAGGCTTGGAGGCCGGGACCATGAGCGGGAGTAGGAAGGAGAAATTGGGACAGTGACTCTTAGGGTTGTCTGGTTCGCATAGGGAGAAGGAGAATGAAAGGGGAAGGAGAGCGTGGGGAAGCTGGAATGGAGGGGGAGGAAGAGTAAGGGCGGTAGTTCATGATGGCCGTCAAGCTTTCTCCTTGCTGGAAGAATATGGATTTGTTGTCTCGCGTGGTTCTAATGGAGGTATGCTTGAGGATTCTTGTGTCTGGGGGTTCGAAATTGGGTCTGCGAGGTGTGCGTGATAGATGGGCAGGCTTGTGATTTCCGTGGATCATCTGGTCGTGGGCAGCATGAGAGATTGCTGCTTGAACCTTGCCTAATTATTTCTTCCGAGCCTGAGGAGAAGGCCTGTACAAGCGATGGCATTCCAAAGATTTCATCAGTGTCTCACTGTTCCATTCACATAGAAATCAACCTTCAAATGCAGCCAAAAGTCGCTTGTCACGAGGCATGTAAAAGTGAAGTTCTTATTTCAAAACTAACTCTGAACACCACTCTCGCAATGCCTTACACAAGTAAGCTTTCCTTGAACTCAAAGAAGATGCTAGCAGCGTTTTGAGGAGCTTTCCAAGATCTCCTTGAAGCCCTGATAACCACATGCTTCCTCGTTCTTATCCATTGCCATAACACGACCATGCATTCGCTCACGTTGCCGAATTCTTTCTTTGGGTCAAAGCTTGATAGCTGCTCCCACTGCTTGAAGTTAATGTTGCTTGTTGTCCGCTCGCTGACCTTCACTAGCTTGGCAACTAAGCCGTAGATGGCGGACTGAATGTCCGCGTGAGCGAGAAAAAATGGTTGACCCGGCGGGATCTATTGTTCTTCGGAAACCGGAACGATTGTGACGGGAGGCTCGTCCTTCAGTGTGTCGGCGCCGCTCCCTGGTGCGGTAGCGTACGGACCGACGTAGAGGCCACTGTTCAAAGTCATATAGGCGTTAATGACAAGCTGAGATTGTTGATTCTCAAGGGGATGATAATCATGGAACATACCTCAAGGTCCTGTCCTTGACAGTCTGGGACTCAAAATCGAGGACATCCTTGTGTAGTACGTTGCAAGCGCGTGTGGCGCCCCAATATGGCCCATCCGGCCTGTCGCGCAATGGCATATCTTCCATAGGAACGGATCCACACAGGTGGCCTGTTATCTCCTTCTCGAACTCGGGCATGGTCTTCAAGGCCTCGATGATGACGCGATAGCTATTGGCGGCCGGAACTCCACCGGTTCCGTGGAGTAGGTCCAACCAGTCGCGACGTTTCCAAAGGTCAACGATCTCGACGGGAACACAGGGCCCCATCCAGGCGCCTGCAAAGTTCCTCCGAGCGCATCTGTAGCGGGCGTACCAACTTTTGCTCCACGCCTCTTCGAAGAGGCGTTCAATGTCGGTATTGCCGGCCTGGAAACTCATGTTTTGACGCTGTTGGATGAAAAGTCTGGCGGAGGCAGGGTGATTAGGCTAGAAAGTGTTAGGTATGCCGGCATAAAGGAGAAAGTGTCCGGAACCGAGCAAAGAAGGAGGAAGAGGCCTTACCGATGTTCTCAATCCTACAGTCGCTTCAAATGTATGGGACTAACCTTGGATATACGTCGATGAAAATGGAGAAGATGCGAGCAGCTGGGTGTTGATGGAGAAGAAAAGTGCTGAAGGTTCGGTACAAGAATGAAATATGAGAGGGAAAGAGTGGAACAGTTGTCGCTGTGGCGAGGAGACACTTGACGCTCTTTCTTTTTGTTGGAATCAGACAGCAGTCAGGAGTGGCAGGTGCAATGACAGCGAAGCACACACTCCTCAGTAAATATTCATGACGTTTTGGCTTCCGAAGAAGGAGAGAAAAATGTCCGGGTCCGGTTCAGATTGTGTCCGTTTTCACGATAGTTCAGTACAATTAGAAGGCCAAAGTATCGTGGGTTGGCGAGCATGACTGACAGTTTATAACAGCTAACGCAACGCCCACACACTGTCATGCGCACAATGCATATTTCACCGGGAGATTCAGCAATAGAAGTGTCGCTCAACTTATTTTTCATTGCATTGCATGACGCAGCACAGGTACGCTCGCACAGGTGCAGAGAGATCTCGTGGGCTCTACATACACACAAGCCGTACCTATGCTGATTGATGTCAGGAGCCCAAAGGGGGCTGGGGCTCGCCATGTGCCAATCTATCGAGTCTCTACGGTAAGTGCATTGAATTGAGACCATGGCAAGCGCAGATGCCTACAATTGCCTGTACTCCTTAGCGTCGAAGAATGTATCTTGATCCTTACAATCACGAGTGTGAGCGCGTGAATCCGTCCAGCGCACGCCCAAGACATGTCCATCGAAACACCCGCAGATGTAGCTGGTGGCCTCTCTCTCGGATTCGGGAGTGCGGTGCAGGCGATCAACGATGACAAATACCTCTATGTTGCATTCATTCCAGGTGATCTCGGTTTTATCAAAGCACCAAGGTACTCCTCGGCGTGGTTCTTCAACGTTCCATGACGCTTGCGCAGCGACAAGGCAGAGTGAGCCCAGCCGTTTTGCTCCGCCTCGTCTCTGAACCTGCGGCTGTTCGCTGGGTGACAATAACTTGTCTTCTCTCCTGTCCCACCGCCATGAGGTCGTTCAGCGTGATCCAGGATATGATGGAATTTACGCGTCTCTCATATGTAGGAATACATCTTTGACGGTATACTATCCGACGAAGGTCTATTCAGGCGGTCAGGCTCTACGTCATGAAGTTCGGCAATGGACGGTAATGCCAGCTCATCAAGATGAGCAGTCATGGTGGGCGTCCCATAGGTCCTGCTGACCCTGAGCAAGTCGGCAGGCCACACCAACAGAGTCCCAGTATCTTTGAGGAAAGGGTGTACCCAACAAGAAAACGGTCATAAGTAATAGGGCTTGGACAATCACAATGTTGTTGAGGTCAAGCAGATCGAGATTAGCGAAGGCCTTTGCACGGTCAAAATAAGTCTGTAGCACCAAGGCCTTGGCATCGGGGCCGAGCCGCCGAGATGAGAGACCTGGCAACCTAAAGCGAAGATCTGCCGTAAAAACCGTCGGTGGCGTCGATTGCTTGCCGGCATCTTGTTCGGTACAGTCGGCTCCTATGGCTGTTATTACGCTAGAAAGTTCAGATGCTTCGTTGAGCCGTTCGGTCGGTGAGAAAACGGGCATATGGCGTGGAGGTGATGGTGGTAGTGGAATGGCTGCTGGACCCGGATCCAGACTCGGTGCTCGGTGATCGCGCCTGTGACTGGGATCGGGATCGTTCTGGGACGGAGAGATTATTGGACTTTGGCGTTGGAAATCCGGATGAGCGCAACAATCATCGACTGTTTAAAGACAAAGAGAGATGTCCGCCATGGAGTCTCCAACTGACCTGAACCACCTGCAGTGAGTAGCGGATCCCGCGCGGTGCCGGTGTGGGGCTGGATGTTATCGGGGGAGTTGGGATTCCGCTCTCCACACAGAGGCGCTCAAGTTAACGGTTCATTTCATGGGGGGGGGTTGAGATATGTATAGTTACTAGCTTCGCGCGCAGTCTCTGTGGTGTAGATGTTGTGTACCAGAGGCAAAGGGCGACGTTGACAACTTGAAGTCTAGCAGATCGGCTTCCCGCTGTCGCAGTGAGACTTTCGTTCGCGCCAAGGCTCACAGGCCAGCGTGGATCTTTCGCCGTTGCAGCTTTTCAATGCACCCCATCTCCAGGAATCTGTTGCAAGCTTACCTAATACTACACCTTTATGACTTTGTCTCGCCTTCTGATTATGTTCTCGGTGACAGGGAAGGAGGTCGATGTCGCCGGGGTCCGTCGGGAAGGTGCCATGAGGTGAAGTCAAAAGTGGATCCTGCCAAGATGCCCGCCAGGCCACCGGCTCTACACCCGAAACCAATAAAATGAACGGCTTGAGCCTAACATTAATCAGCTCCCCAACCAACTTGTGATATCAGTCAACAAAATCGTCCCTCTTTAGCAACTTCCGTTCTTTCATCTTTGCCGACGCCGAGTCGTATGTCACGGTGTGATCTAAGAAGCGCAAGGTGCGCCCGCTGCCGCTACAGGTCGTGCACAGTCTAGATGAGATATCACTCTCGATGCTGTTTTTCGCTGCAGTAGCACAGTCGGGTTCCCAACTTGCTTCCTCCATCAACCACTACTTGTTCGTCTTGGTCGCACATAGCGAGAGACACATTTCAGGTCATTGACCCATGACATGGTTTAGAACCTCATTGCGATGGGAATCCACGCTTTGAACGCTTGCCGGGATCGGGCCAGGGTTGCGGGGAGCTGCTGCAGCTGTGATGACGGAAGGGCGCACAACGGATTATCTTTTCACATCTTGTTTGTTCTTTCCTGCGTTGATAAACATGGAGACGCTTTCCCCACTCATTCAGTTCATTGTCCTGCGTCGACAATCAAATGCCGGTGGCCGACGCGGAAGCCGTTAAGCTTTTACCACGACTGCCGACTGGTTCATCGCGACTGCCGCCACCTTCCACCACGAAATGCGACATCCTCACTTGATTGCGACCCTGAAAATACCACCTACCTACTACAGTCACCATTTTCGTTCAGCATTACCCAGCCTCAACAATTCAACAAAGTTCTGTACGACTAGTGTACACCAGACCTAAGACTGGAACACGCAGAAGACCTAAACACCGCTCCACAAAAGATATTTGGTTGCAGTACCACAAACAGTTAACGTTGGTCGTACACCGCCCTCCCTGTCCACTCAGCTGAACTCTAAACTGTTGGCGCGTTTTTGCAGTAATTTCCATTTCCCGTAATTACCGCCATTTCAATGGGTCGTGTACCAGTCTGCAGCGTAAGGAAGAAAAAAAAGGTTGTTATTTTTCAGTATCCTGACATTTTTTTTTTACAAAAGTTACCGATGATCGTAAATAGCGATCGACCTCTAGGCGTAACATTGCCCCAGACTCGGAGCGGATTCGGAGCTTCCAAAGTGATACAAGACCAATCAGTATGTACGATCTAGGCCTAGCTTATTGATCTGCATCAGGGTGGTCGGCAAGTTCGCGACTTTACGGTCACCCCTTCGATGATGATATAAAAGCTTGTTCCAGCTTGGCAAGCTTGGCCATCTTCACAGTCTTCGCACACGACGGAACCGCACATTTCGAAACATGACTTCGAACACTCATGCTTCGAATGCCGACAAGATGGGTGAGAGGCCCTCCATTGAGAAGATGGAGAGGACCGTCTCCGACAGTGAATACCATCGCAATATGACGAGACGGATATTATGGAAGATGGACACAAGGTAGTTAATTCCGTCTATCATCCATCTTGAAGGGTCTTTATGGACACAGACGTCATTAACTGACAAAAGCACAGGGTTCTGCCTGTCCTTTCCCTCCTCTTTCTCTGCTCGTTCCTCGATCGAGCCAACGTCGGCAACGCCAGAATTATCGGTCTTGAAAAGGATCTTAACCTCTCCAATACCCAGTACGCGCAGGGTCTGGCAGTCTTCTATGCCACATACATTGCGAGGTACACCACCGTCGCTTACAACTAACACAAACCTATACTGGTTCATCACTAACGTTCCACTAGTGAACTTCCGAGCAATCTGCTCCTAAAAAAAGTTACGCCCAAGATCTGGCTGCCCCTGCTCACCATCGTCTGGGGCGTTATCACCATGTGCTTAGGATTCGTAAAGAACTTTGGAAGCTTCATCGGCGTGCGAGCCCTGTTGGGCATCGCCGAGGGCGGCCTCTTCCCCGGGATTGTGCTCTATCTTTCCGGCCTATATACCCGCCAGGAGATGGCGCTGCGAATGGGTATCTTCTACACGGCTGCCTCTTTGTCGGGTGCATTCGGTGGTCTTTTAGCGCGGGGGCTTTCTGCTATTGGTCCACGTGGTGGGTTGGAGGGTTGGAGATGGATTTTCATCATCGAAGGGTTGATGGTGAGTTCAGCCCTTAACACCCGTGCAAGCTGTGTGAAGGGCGAGACTAAAACTATGATGTCTTCAGACCATACTGGCAGGTCTGGTGGCATATCTCCTGCTTCCAATCAGTGTAACTACTGCTCCCTACCTGACCGAGGAGGAGAAGGAATACGCTGCGAGGAGGCTCCAAGGAGACACTGGCGCAGACACCGCGGATAGGACCAAGTAAGACAGCGGACAGAATGTGTGGGTAGTTATCCTCAGCTAACTGGTCTCGCCTTGCAGTCACGTTCTGGAACGAGAGGAAAGGTTCAAGTGGTCTGAAGTTCACCGTGGCGTCTTCAACCTTCAAGTTTGGCTAACAGCTACCGCGTATTTTTCCCTCGGGGCGGGGCTTTACAGCTTTGGTCTCTTTGTAGGTTTGCCGTGCGCTCTGCGCTTTCCATCTTCTTGAGACCAAGATTACTGACATGCCTCAGCTCCCAACCATTCTCAACGATCTGAAGATCACATCCAACCCCAACCAGACCCAACTGTGGTCGGTTATCCCATACGCAGTTGCCACCCCAGTCACAGGTCCGTTCCGTAGATATCATTTTCGGTTTCTGTCCAACTGACAGCTGACACAAACGTGTAGTTCTCATTGCATTTGCCTCTGATCGCCTCAAACTCAGGGGCGTCATGATGCTCTTCACTGTTCCCATTGCCATCATTGGCTACGCCGTTATTGCCAATGTCGTTTCGGCCCATGTTCGCTTTGCTATGACATCCTTGATGGCGATCGGCATGTACAGCAGCATACCATGCATTCTCGTTTGGAACTCCAACAATTCTGCTGGGCACTACAAGCGAGCTACCACTTCAGCTTTGCAGCTTGTTATTGGAAACGCGGGCGGTTTCGTGGCTAGTAGGTATTCGCATATACCTTATCTACCTAAGTACGTCCACTGACCAAGGCTCATCTCAGCTTTTGTTTATCCTCCAAAGGATGGACCTTTGTATCACAGAGGGCACACGATCCTCCTTGGCCTGCTGGTTTATGCTTGGTTTGCGTAAGTGCTGGTTGCGCGGTTGGGTAGAAGAGCATGCTTGCTAACGCTTTGCAGGGTCCTCGCCAATGTGCTTTGGTGCAACAAGATCAACAAGGACAAAGCCGCTGGGAAGTATGAGAAATACGAAGGCTGTGGGGACGACAGAGACCCAGCTTTCAAGATGATCCTATGAAGCGCTTTTATATCACCCTATCAGTACTAATCAGTGAGTAATTCGTGCATTTGTTAGGCGTATAATCGATAATAGGTATAGGTTTGCCAACAGACCGCGGTCAGCCACCGTCCAGTGAATGTAACCTGCAAGGGCAGACGCTTTTTCTGACCGTCATTCTGTTTTACTCTGGATCCTTCCGTCCAGCCGGTCAATTCCTTCCACCGCCAACCCCCAACAGATACGGCTTCTTCGTGCCCTTATCGAACATTTGCGGCTGTTTTTCCCTGCTTCCATATCGTAGTTCCCTATCCGTGACGCCTGGAAACACACCCACCCGCCTGACACTGATCCCAGCCTCGACCCATTCCAAGATGTCATCGCGCGCACATATTACTTCTCCCTTTATGACATTACCTCTGACTTCCGCCGATGCAGCAAAGCACAACGGCCAAAATCCCTGCGCCATTCCCCTTCGCTCAGCCCCGCTGGTCTTTTGGGGGCGCAGAGTACAAGTCGAGAGTTACGGGAAGGAGGTAGTAATTGCCTATTGTGGCGAACGTGGTGGGGGCGCCGGGAAGGGATGACGAGTTGTTGGAAACAGATGGTGATGAAAAAAATGGGAGACTTACTTACGGAGGTCGCTGTTAGCAGGAGGATGTTTCCTGAAGGACCGAGTGGACGGTAAGGAGGGACTTGTTGTGGAAACCTATGGGGAAGCTCAATTAAAAAGATGGGTAGATAACAACAAATTCGAAATGAGACATCAAGGAGCAGGATACGAAAAGGAGGAAAAAGACAAAAAGATTG